ACCTATTGTGAGTTGCAGATATGAGCGAGTATCAGTAAATTCCGAATTCATTGTACTTTCTTCGCATAATTTTATATAAAAAAAAATTATCTTGCGTACATTTCAGCGTATATCAAGTATCAAATGAAAAAGTTAAATTTTACAACAAAAAGTGTCATGAAATCGTGGTGTTTGAAGTTAGAAATTGTGATTTTATCATTTAAAATCTTATACTCAGTGGTTAATTATCAAATTTTGCTTATCTGGAATAAAATTGAACTCACAATATTTTTTGAAAACAAAAACTAACTTTTCTTAAAATATATGGTAAAAAGGGAAATGATGAATCACTTTTGGCATTGTACTGTAGATTGTGCGACATAAATCATATTCTGAAAGATAATGAAATAGACTTTATCTTTGGATCCCTATTTTTGCCAAATTTCCAGTAATTTACTTATTTCTATAAGGTTGAAAGACTTCGAGAATTGTACAGTAGTTTTACCTTTTTGTTTGATATATATATACTGTTCGAAAAAAAAACCCAGAATAACAAAATATCTTTCACCCTCTATTTCTCTTAATATTTTAATATGCACTGACCCCGCTAGTCATTGCGTAATACGAAGTTTTGAAAACACATGTAGGAGAAGACTGCCCCATATTAAGTCAACTGAACTCGCAAGAAAATCCTAATATTTCATGTACATGTATTTGTGTAGCTTTTTTCTTACACTTTTTAAAGGGTAAATTTTATTCGAGGCACGATAGAATTTTCAAATACAAATGAAATATATGGGTAACTTTTGTTCGTCACAGTCCTATAATTACAGCTTTGATAAATTAGCATCCTTTCAGTAGTTTCTGTGTCCGAGATAATTAGGCAATGACTTTTGGTTTTAGATAGAACCGTAATAAACTTTGCAAAATGGCATCGTATCTGCCTTCAACAACCCTCTTTTATGTAAACTTTAAGAGGACGTGATTTTTTTCCATTCCGAAAATAGATCGTTTTCTAATATGGTATCGTCAACAGATACTAGAAATTCAAATAATCAAAAGACACGTAAAATTTCAATAAACTGTATAAGTATTATTGTATAAAAATTCCACAAAACGTCTCAAATAAAACATTTAAAGGCCGAGGTTTTCAACCGGTCGGTTTTCCTCAGGTAAGTTTGTTGTGGGGTGGAGCTTAATTGAAACGGCTGTGAAGCCCCGAGGGAACCAAGCTGGCTTGTGTATACCTACCTATATACACAGGATGTTACCTGTATATTACCTGTAAATGTTTACCTAAGACATAGTTTAACTTCGGGTGTTGGTCAATCGAAATGTTGATCGTCAAATTTATGAAATAAAACATGCTAAAATTGTTTATGTAGACTGATTCCTTTAGTTCAATTCTTTTTTAAAAATATGTTTGAATAAAGGAGACAATTTTAGTTTAATTGTGTGCGTTAATAAATTTCATGCAGTTCTGCAACAAGGAATACGCAGTCCTCGAATCATGTTAACTGAATTTTCGGAAATGGAGAAATTTGGGGATCGACGCTTTCCAAGCATGGAGTATCTCGTAATTAGGGAATACCAAATTGGGAAACATCTCGTAATAAGCGTTTGTCACACATCCAACAGCGAAGAAACCGCCGAGAGTGTGTTGGTTTAACAATAATTATTTTATTTCCTAAGATTGTAAGGTGTAATGTGAAACCATTATCCATAAATATTTTCCCCCAGATTTTTTTTTTACTTTTAATAAATTTTATTGAAATTTTACATTTACACAAAGTAAAAAAGGCCGAACTGACTTTTTGCATTTGTTTCATGTTCAGCAAACTTTATGTACGAATTGACTTCTGTAGTTTGCATACGAATTGACTTCTTATGTACGAATCAGTTTTTGTACGAATTAACATTAAGTCGGCGTAATTTAATGAATATTCATGAGGCGAGAAATATTATAACGGCAAATATCAGGAATTAAACTTTGCGCCCATCAACAAAATGTCATTGAAATAACTTGAGAACCATGTACATTTTATTTTCGAACATCGAAACGACCCCACTTTCATTATTTTGTCTCTGCAAAAATCGCCGCTAGGGTCCCCGTGATTTTACACTGTTGTTTATTCATCGCCCAGACCAGCAGCAATAGCCTGTGGCTATAAATAGCCACCGTCTAAAAAAGGTCTGCTAATAACGGGGCGCAATTGGTACCCATAGAAATTCCAATAGATTGTTGGAAGACCTGGTCTCCAAAAACCACATAGATATTGTCAATCAGAAACTCAAACATCTTTTTAATTTCAACTTCAGAGTACTTGTGTGTACAATCAGAATGTTTTTTAACAAAATAATTTTGCAAATGACCAATGACAAGGTAAGTATATTTACGAGTTCCATTTTTATTGAAAAAGCAGCTGTCAATGATATCAAAAAGCCTGGACTTTAATTTATCGTGGGGAATGGTTGTGTATAAAGTTGAAAAGTCGTAAGTTTTTAAGCTGTTGATTTTGGTAAAATCTTGTGATTTCAAATTTTCCAAAAGTTCCTTGGAATTTTTAAGTATCCACATCTGATTTACACCACTTCTCGAATATATTGTTGCACAGTACTCTTGAAGTTTCTCCTTCACCACTGTTAATATCTTAGTGAGGAGTAAAGATAGAGGCTTGGTTGAACATTTACTGGAACCCACTATGTATCTTTGTTTGTAAGGATTTTTATGAAGTTTCGGAATCCAATATAAATATGGTAATTCGAATTCATTTTGGTTGTTTGGAATATTAAAAATATTCAAAACTGACATATGATTTTGAAGAATTTCTTCCTTAGAAAGGGAACTATGAGTATAAGTTGGATTACCACTTGTAGAATGAAATCCAAGTTCCTCTAAAATACATTTAATATAATGAGCCTTACAAACAAAGACAATGTTGTTACCTGCTTTGTCAGCAGGGACCAGTACGTACTGATCATGTAATCTATCTAATTCTTTTTTCACTTCTGGATTATTGAATACAGAAGGATAGATGGTTTTCATATTGCCTCTCAATCTTTTAATGCGCGATTTTAACATACATCTGATACATTTCATCCATTCTGACAAATGGCTATGTGTAATGCACTTACAGCTTACGATGGTTTAATATTTGATAAACCATCAATAATTTAAAGAATATATTTCAATCAAAACTTGTTAAACACAATGACTGATGTGTCTTTTTTTTCGTCAGTCCCCGATTTTAGTCTTGATGGAAATATCCAGAGCGTGATGACATCCCTCCTCACAACCCCAGTCCACCCGTGGCCGTGGGACACCTGACAAACTTCATTTATTTTTTTAAGGGCTAGCTGTAAATATTTTTTCTTTTTAAATATAACTGTCCTTAATACATTGTTAGTAGTTCTGTGATCTTTTTTAAAAAATGAGACTGGTATTGACTGAGTAGATTATTAGATTCAAGACTCAAACATTGCTGCAGAATTTTAATAAAATCATCTTTCCTAAGACAACTTATAACACTTCTTATAGAGACTTTTGTAGTTGTTGTATCATTTTGAGAACCATTTTTAAAGTGATGTAATCAAGCGAAAGATTCCATGAACAAAGTCCAGTTTTTAAGAATAGTATTTATTGAAAATGTTGTGAGCAGAGGCAAAATATTGCAGCACTACATATGCTTTTATAAATTCATTCAAAATCAAATCTATCTAGACCTGAACTTTAATTTACCATTTTTAATTTCAGTATATATTTTATATATATACCAAGTTTAAATATATATATATATATATATATATATATATATATATATATATATATATATATATATATATATATATATATATATATATATATATATATATATATATATATATATAGAAAGCCGATGGAATTCTAGCGGCGCTGTCGTACACTACACGGTCATTGAGAATGGAAGTGAGATACAGTTACACAAAAATATATATCATGTAAAAATGGTGAAAAAGAGAAATTTGACACTCAGTGGAACAGGTGGAACCAACTATTTTTTAACTCTCTCTCTCTCTCTCTCTCGTAATTCTATATATGCACAATCCTGTTATAGAAAAGATAATGGACATTTTGTATCGAATGAATTGTGTTGAAAAAATAAAATGATCGTTAAAAAATAATAGTACTTTATGTTCATGTGGGAAGTATGAAGATGTTCATCATTTCTTGCCTGTAGAAATTATCCAAACGCTAGGAATAACCTTTTCATCCGGCTATTTATATTTGACGAATTGGTCACTATTGGTACAAATTTGTTATTATGGGGTGATGTAAATTTGCCTTTACAAACTAATATCAATATTTTTTACAATTGTAAATTTATATTTCTATGTACTGTTTCAATTGCATGACATATTGTTCTATTTATGGAAAGGAACTAGTAAGTTGTACATGTGTAAGAACTTTTTTCCAATTCTTTTGATTCATTCAACACTGTTCAATAAAATATGTTTAAAACAAAACAACAGAATCTAAAGTGTTAATATTTTATGCATCTGTTGTTTTTATTTATTTTCTTTGAGTTTATTCCTGAACTTTAAGATTTTCCTGTAATTTCGGGTAAACGCAAGGTATCCTAGGTGTTAAAAATGTAATAGATAAGCTCAATATTTACACCTTTACACACTATAATTTTCTCTCTCGATATCCCAAAAATCTTTTCCTTTAGTGTACAGAGGGTTCTTAAGGTCTTTTCTTAGGGTTTTTTGTTTGTTTGTTTCTTTGCTGCTGCTGTTGTTGTTGTTTTAGGTCCCTCGACGCTTCATGCATTTTTGATGAGCTTGTCGAAATGTTTTAAGTTGCAATTGAAGTCTCACTTTGGCTGATAATTAAAAAAAAAATCTTTACCAAAGCATGCAAATCATTATTTCCACTACCGGGACTGAAGACGTGTTTTGACCGACTTTTATTCACGTCAAACAATTTTCACCGCAAGGAGTCGCTATTAACCTTCTTCCTGTTTAGAAAGAATGGATCTTGTCTTCAAACATGTTGGTGTTTCTCATTCGAAGCCTGAATAGATTGTAGAAAAAGAAAACCATTCCCATTTAACCTTCAAATATGGATATAGACGATTCACCACGTATGTATATGATATTGTTTGAGTGAATTAGATTCGATTGTAAATAATTTTACGCTTTGCTTTCGCTTCTTACAGATGTCTAACATGGCAGGGCTAGAAATAATTATATTTGTTTACTGGTCACTCGGGCTATCGCCTTAAATTTTTGCTGGTCAACTTAGTACTTTCACTTCCCACTGGGCCAGTAGATTTTAAAAAGACTGGCCCAAAACCATAATAATAATAGTAATATTTTTTTATATTGTGATACTTAGAAGTACAACTTAACAACACAAGAAAAAGTAAAAGTACTAAATAAATTCATGACTTATATGTTGCTATAGCATTTCACACTGAAATATATTAAAAAACTTGTGAACGAAATTCTTTTTTCTGGAAATTAATAAAACTGCGTTTTTCTGGACGTGTTTGATTGACACATATCCTTGCACTTTCAATAAGTAAACTTTTTTCATAATACTTAAGAAAATCAGGGACCTATATATATATACTAACCAGATAGGCAACTCCTTCAGCATCATGTTTATTTACCCAAAATGTCACGCTCAACACTACAAGTTTTCAAACTATGTTTATTTCCAGTAAAAAGACTGTTTTTCTGATCATTGTAATCTTTTCTTGTGTATTGGAATGTATTTTTAATAAAACTTACAAGATATCACAAGAGTTGCTTATCCTGTTTGTATATAGGCCCCTGAGAAAAGTAGAAAATTTGTTGTGTATTAATGAAAAATATGAAAACTATAATCCAGAAAATTTGGAGTAGAAATGCGAGAAAGTAAAACCAACTCACCAGTATAGCCAGTCCGTGTTTAGTGATGTGTGCAGACTAAACAAATTGAACACACCCGGTAAAACGTAAAGAATAAACACTAACAATAACAGAGTTGTGCCCTGTTTACAAACACAGGTGTTTGACGTGATGTTATAAAGAATGTCATTGAATTCTTAGAATATTCATGTAGGTTCAAATCATTAAACTGAAGTTATAATATATTATATACTAAATTGTGTCAGTATCTATATGTTGTAAGTGTAAAACCCTGATATTTTTATGTACATACATTACTTCATGTTTTATAAAACATGCATTGAAGAGCAGAGTTGATGCAATCTCTTTGAAAGTAAATTTGCCATGATTTTTGTCAGTTGTTCAAATTAACAGTAAATCTTTAAATTTAAAATAGAAACTTTAGAGTAGTAAAATACTTTTATGGAGTGCCTTTAATTCTTCAACAGTACATGTATCAATAAATGATTTATGGTAGACTACGATGTTGGACTCACAGTGCCAACATAATTCTAATTAATATTAATAATTAATTTTGAAGTACAGTCAAACCTCATTATCTTGAACTCGATGGGACCAAGAAAGAAACTTCGAGATATCCGAGGATTCAAGATATCAAATGTAAAATACTTCAAGAATAAGTGGTTGGGACTTCCAAATCACTATGACATATCCATGGCACTCGAGATATCAGTGTTTGAGGTATCGAAGTTCAACTCTATTTAATAATATTAAAAAATGCACAAAGCAATTATACGATTACATGGAAGTGTGAAAATAAATGATTTGTCTTTGTTCCTTCTTGCAAAAAGTCCATCCAGGGACTAGGAGATAATTCATAATACAAGGTGAAGAAAGACAATGTGCCCTAATTAAGGCTTTAAACACTACTCGTATTTAAGGCATTGTCCGCCATATTACCCTTTCATCGCCGCTATCCCTACAACCCCTATATAAGCCGCAGATCTCTGAACAGTTTAAAGTATTTCGTTGTAGAGGTCTAACCAGTGTGGACGTACATCTTGCATTATTGCCATGTTACTCAGTCGCGATGAAATTATCAAATTTTACACACTTTTTCCGAGCCAGGAGAAAAGTAACATGAAATATACAAGTTAATGCATAATTTACAAACAGAAAATGCACTTAAACATGATAAAACAAGGAATAAACACACAGAATTTAAGACCATGAAAGGAATACTACGTGTTGGCCATGAGATTCAAGTGTGTAGTCGGGTGGAATGAAATTGAGGGGTTTATATACCTGTGTGATCATGTGCCTATTTATGAGTAGTGTTCAGCTTTAAGAGATGATTAACTGCTCTGCATTAAAAATTGAAAGACGGTAGATTTGTTTGATTAAAATTTCAGAGAAAATCTGTGTTCTTAGTGACGAGCATGAATGGATTAACGAGATTCCCACTGTCCCTATCTACATCTAGTGAAACCACAGCCAGGGGAATGGACCTGGTAGAATCAGCGGGCTGATTTTCTGATCGTTGAAGATCTTACTGTGTCATAAAATTTTTACTGTAGTGCACACATAAAATTTGAATCATTAATGTTTCGGAGGAAATTTTACTGTGTGGGGGCTGTCACAGTAAAACAGCTCATGGAAAACCCTGTAATAGAATTTGTTACATGCGTTGGTAATGTAGCAATATGGATAAATTCTACACCTTTAATTTATTTGTGTTTGAGAGCTGTTTCATTACTTACTAGATCTGTGTATTTATGTAATGTGTATGTACTTATTTCTTGTAATTTACTATTTACACAGGTAGTGGGGGCAGTACTCCTGTTATGGATGAGCCAACATACCACGAGGAGGACTCACAGCAGGTTTCGTTTATTTATCTAACTGCCGCAATTGTTACAGTAGCTCACAGATCTAGTCTGAACAAAAAAAGATACAAACTCTAAACTTGCTAAAAAGGGTTGACATAAAAAGAATGGAAAAAAAAATTTCGTTTGTGGGTAAAAGGGTGAATTGTTGGGAAGTACTGTTATATATTGTGTTTTCACATTGGTTATGATGACTGAGTAATTGCAGACATACCACTCGGGCAAAATTCTACAGAACTGAGTTGCAGTTTAGTCTTTGTTTATAATATCTCATAGAATTTTAAGTTTCATAAACATGATTAAAAGTCATTCATACCTCTTTTCTTATTGCATTACAATTTGTGTTAGGCAATGGATGCACAGTGTCACGAGTGACCCAGGAGACTGACATACAGTGTAACTGGTTTATAAACATTGGACAGATTCACAACTCATGACAGCTACAATTAACAAACATGCAGTTATTAATTTTGCAACATTAACATCAATTATGCAAATATAAATATTCAGTTTCTAATTCAATAGTCCCAATTATTCTATATCAGTTAATATTTTAATTCACATATTATTTTGTATAATTTTTGGTACATTTAAAAGTTTTGTCCAGATGAGTCGTCATTCACATTCTTATTTTATTTTAACTTACATTGTGTTTAATAAAAACTTTTAGGAGATGGATGTAAACAAAGGAGAAAGTGACAATGAAGAGGCTGGTGATACTGAATTTGCCAGGAATAGAGAGTCCAATATGGATGATGATTATGTAAGTGATGGTGGAGAAGTGGAACGGGAGGAAGTGGAGAGAGACATGGGAGATGATGACGAGGGGCCTGCATCTCCAGAAAGTGGACCAATGTCACCGGAAGGGTCTAATCCTGCCTCTCCAGCAGGTCCTCAATCCCCTGTGGATGGACCTGGCTCTCCAGAGCAGGATGAAGGACCTGCATCACCAGTTGGTAGCTACGAGGGATCAGGATCCCCACGAGGTAGTGGCAGTCCACCTGGATCCCCTGAAGAAGGCCCCTTGTCTCCTCCTCCCTCACCTGCATCTCCTGAGGCTCAAGGACCAGCATCACCTGATGGTAGTGGTCCTGCTTCTCCAGATGAACCTAGATCCCCTGGATCTCCAGGATCAAATAGAAGCAGATCTCCAATTCAAAGTCCAAATGGCTCACCTGCTAGAAGCAGAAGTAATTCACCAGATCACAGTCAAAGGAGTTCTAGAAGTAGGTCAGGTTCCCCAGCCAGAAGTCAGTCAGGATCCCCAGCAAGAAGTCGCTCAGGTTCTCCTAGAAGCAGATCTGGATCACCAGTACGGAGCAGATCGGGTTCACCGAGAAGCAGATCAGGATCACCAAGAAGTAGGTCAGGTTCACCAAGAAGCAGATCAGGTTCACCAAGAAGTAGGTCAGGTTCACCAAGAAGTAGATCAGGTTCACCAAGAAGTAGGTCGGGTTCACCAAGAAGCAGGTCAGGTTCACCAAAAAGCAGGTCAGGTTCACCAAGAAGTAGGTCAGGATCAAGAAGTATTTCACGTTCAAGATCCAGATCAAGAAGTCGATCTGGCTCCAGAAGTAGGTCTCGCTCAAGAAGTCGTTCAGCATCCCCAAGAAGCAGATCAGCATCACCAGCAGCTGGAAGTGATGAAGAAAAAGAGAAGGAAAAAGGTTTGTAATTCAGGTGTTATTCTTTAAAAATTAAACAAAGGGTAAAGGTCCCATTTTGAACCCATCTGGAAGGGTATTCAAACAGTATAGTAGCTTATGATAATAGGACATTATTCCTGATTGTAGGTGATAGCACACACAAAGGTCACAAAATTTTTCATATCCCAAAGTACACAAGATTTTATAGATGCATTTTGCTTCAGAAAATGGATCAGGATTAACTCATTTACCAGTATATCAGTATATTATTTATTTGAATCACTTTCCACTGGCAATATGTAACATTTGATAACTGTTCGTTATCTTCACCAACTGGAGGAATCAAAGATCAATGGTTATTTTGAAATGCTTCTTTATAAGATCTTAGAATCTGTCACAACTAGGTGTTTTCATTTTTATGTCAAATAAGGGTGCAGAGTTTGTCTTACTGTTCTTTTTGCTGACTGCATTTTACCTAATCATGAAAAAAAAGTACAGTTAGTAAACTGATTTTTTAAATATGATTTTATTGTAGCACCTGGTAGTGATGATGAAAATGACACAGATAAAGAGTAAGTTCTCATTTTGACTTATTTTTTTATCTTTTGAAATCATGAATGAGTTAGACTCTCGTGTGAACTTTTCTGGTTTGTCCAGCCTGTGTATGTCTATGTATGTACATGTACAGATATATCTGTGAAATGGGTTTCATGTTTTGACATTTGTGTCTTGCAATTCAAGATCAACTACTGTAAAAAAAAAAAAAGAAAAGAAAATCACTTATTTTCATGGGATTAAATTTTGGTGGTTTGAGGAAAAATTACTGGTTTGAGGGGATTTTATTTCCTGGTTAAAAAGGGATATTATAAAGCAGTATGTAATTTTCACATTTGGGGGATATGAATTCATTGGTCTCTTCATTCCACGAAAAAAAATGAAAATAAACCCCCAGGAAAATTTGTGATTTCAAAATATTAAAAACAGCTCATAAAAGCTATTGAACTATATGCAGCATAATTTGGGTATATATTAAACAAATGAAATGTGAATGTTTTCTCTAGAAATTAAAGCTTATACATTAAATGTTCTTTTACCATATGTTTGGAAACTAAATGGTAAACTTGAAAAATTTATCTAATGTTAAACATCCTATCTCTTTCAGTGAATTAATAGCGGACATTTTTGGCTCAAGCGATGAAGATGAAGAATTTGAGGTGTGTAATGTTATATACAAGATTAAATTTTTCTTGAATTTTAAGAATCACAAATAAAATTTCTTTGAGCTTCTCGAAACTTGATTTTACATCTGTTTTAAAAGGGTTTTGAAGAGGCAGATGTGGAAGCAGCAAAGAAGAAGAAAGAGAAGAAGAAAGGAAGTAAGTGGAGTAGATTCAGAGTACAACTCTCTGTATGGCTTACTGTAATAAATATAAAACGTCCTTGTAAACATATTCAGTTTTTACCATAATGACCTTATGGTTTACTAAAATAACCAGGATGTTTTAGGCAAACAAAGGCCATTTCCTACTCATTTAATCATTACTGTTATAAATACATTGAAAATTATGTTTATTTCCGTATATTTATGTTTATTTATGTTTTGTGTTGAAACAGAAAATACAGTATTTTTCACATAATCAACAAGCATTCTGAGAGTATTGCATTAGCAATACTAGTCCCCTACCGGCAAATGTTCCCGTTAAGAATTGAAAATGCCATAATTCTGTCAAAACTTAATGAAGCGGGACAAACTTGATCTATAACTAATCAAGGTAAAGCCACATACCAAAAATCAGCTCAATATCTACAAGCATTTAGAAGAAAATTGCGGAAAACCCGTAAAAATTGAAAAGGCTGTAATTCCGTCAAAAATCAATGAAGTGGAACAAAATGCAAACTTGATCTGTAACTCATCAAGATACACTCACGTACCAAAAATCAGCTCAATATCTGCAAGCGTTTAGGAAAAAAGTGCGGAAAACCAAGTGGGACAGACTGACAGACAGACAGACGGACAGACAGACAGACAGACAGCTAGACAGACGGACGGACAGACTCAGAGGAAACCTATAGTCCCCTCCGGTTTCACCGGTAGGGGACTAATAAGGAGGCTATAAACACTGCACACAAAAGAGTTCCAATTCTAGGGTAGTTGTAAGCATGCAGTTAGATTTATCTGCCCTTAGATGTAAGATACAATAAATTGCAATTTACTGTTAATGACACAATTGTAATAGATTAAAATGTTCTTAAAATTATATTAAACCATGATAAAATAATAGAATGCATGATTTACATGTATATTTCCAATGTACATGTATGTAAACAAGAGTGATTTCTGTTCACTAATACAGTACTTCAGTGTCTTTGAACATTTTTCCAGGGGAAATATTGCAGGTACCTATGTTGAAAATGAACAAGATAATGTAAATATATATACACTTTTATAAATGTGATATAATTTTCTCAAAGTCCTAAAAAAAGGTACCAGTAGCGTTTTTGAGCCTCCTTTATTAGGGTTCTGCAAGGATTTTCAGATACCCTATAGTAATAGTATTTATTAAGATATACATATAGCAAATATGAAACTAACTTGAATTTAAATGCTAATGATGAGATTTTATTTGTAGAGGAATCCAAGGCTATTGTGTCTGATGATGAGGAAGGGGGTGGAGTCACGGGGGCAGTGGAGGAGACCCAGGGGGTACTTCCTGATGTATCCTCCGATGAGGAGGTCAACAAGTAAGCATTCTTACTTCAAGCTCCTGTTTTTAGGTCACCTGAGTCAATCTGTTGACCGTAACTCTCAGATTTTGTATATTCGCATCTGTTATTAGCTCACCTGAGCCGAAGGCTCAAGTAAGCTTTTCTGATCAAAATTTGTCCGTTGTCTGTCGTCGTCGGCGTTGTTGTCGTTGTAAACTTTTCACAATTTCATCTTCTTCTCCAGAACTACTGGGCCAATTTCAACCAAACTTGGCACAGAGTATCCTTGGGTGAAGGGGGTTCAAGTTTGTTCAAATGAAGGGCCACACCTTCTTCCAAGGGGAGATAATCACGAATTCATGAAAAATTAATGGCATCATTTAAAAATCTTCTTCCCAAGAACCACTGTGCTTGAAAATATGAAACTTATATGGAAGCATCCTCAAGTAGTGTAGATTCAAGTTTGTTCAAATCATGACCCCCGGGGGTAGGGTGGGGCCACAATGGGCGATCAAAGTTTTACATAGGAATATATAGGAAAATTCTTTAAAAATCTTCTTCTCAAGAACAGCAAAGCCATGATTGGTCATATTTATATGGAAGCATCCTCAGGTAGTGTATATTCAAGTTTGTTCAAATCATGACCCCCAGGGGTAGGGTGGGGCCACAATGGGCGATCAAAGTTTTACATAGATATATATAGGAAAACTCTTTAAAAATCTTCTTCTCAAGAACAGCAAAGCCATGATTGGTCATATTTATGGAAGCATCCTCAGGTAGTGTAGATTCAAGTTTGTTCAAATCATGACCCCCGGGGGTAGGATGGAGCCACAGTGGGCGATCCAAGTTTTAAATAAGAATACATAGGGAAAATCTGTAAAAATCTTTTTCACAAGAACAACAAAGCCATGATTGGTCATATTTACATGGAAGCATCCTCAAGTAGTGCAGGTTCAAGTTTGTTCCAATCATGACCCCTGGGGGTAAGATGGAGCCACAATGGGTGATCAAAGTTTTACATAAAATACGTAGGAAAAATTTGTAAAAATCTTTTTCTCAAGAACAGCAGAGCCATGATTTTTTTTTTTTTATGGGTGCATCCTCAGGAAGTGTAGATTCAAGTTTGTTTAAATCATGACCCCCCAGGGGTAGGGTGGGGCCACAATGGGCGATCAAAGTTTTACATAGGAATACATAGGAAAAAAGTAAGCCTTTTAAAATCTTCTGATGAAGAACAGCAAAGCAATAATTAGTCATAGTTACATGCAAGCATCCTCAGGTAGTGTAGTTTCAAATTTTGTTCAAATCATGACCCCACCCCCACCCCCCACCCCCAGGAGAATAGAGGGGCCATAACAGGGGATCATAGTTATACAAAGGAATACAAATGATATATCAATAAAAATTGTCTTCCTAAGAACAGCATAGCCATTATTTGTCATATTAATTCAAAAGCATCCCTTTGAAGTATAGATTCAAGTTCAAATTACCCCCCCCCCCCCTTGGGGCCTCTTGTGCATAAACTTTTTATCACATTTTCAAATTCCTGTCCAGAACATTTGAAACTTTTAACCAAACTTACCTCAAAACATTCTTCAGCAATAGAGATTTTTTGATGGTTACATCTATCTTCAAGACAATTCAATGTCTTATTTGCCAATATTTGCCATTCAAAAATGAGTTGAATGTGTTCATTTAGGATAGACTGTAATCACACTTATTTAAATTAGGAAGTACTGCTACACACCTTTGTTTTTACTGATTGTATTTCTGATGCAGTGGAACTCTTGCTGATGGTTATCACTTTTTTTTCCAGATCTGACATGGTGTCAGATTTTGATTTGATGTTAATGAGAAAAAAAGAAGAAATGAGAAAAAGAAAGAAGAGACGGCGAGACGTGGACATTATTAATGATAATGACGATCTCATTGCTGACATGATTGTCAAAATGAAGGAAGCTGCAGAGGTGATTAAAATATTAGCTAGATATATACAGTAAAACATGGTTACAGCAAACATGCTTATGATGTTTTTCACTCTTTATAATGAATTGATTTTCATTCCCTCTAGTTTTAAAATGTACTATTTTAATTTTATCAAATATAACAAATTATGTCTATAACACAGGAAAATTTTTGTCTTTGTGATTACTTAAATTCATCAGAGCTTGAGTAATGTCTAGTTATATGCTCACATAAGTGTGATTATTATGTTCATAGGGGGATTAGCTTATTATATCATGTGATCCAGGGTTTTGTTTTGTTAGCTCACTTGAGCTACATTTTATCTGAGCAGGAAACTTCCTGACAGGTTTTTTCAAATGTACTCTCCTGTTATTCTGAATGTTCGAAGTAACATTGGCAGATAATTTCAGGATGACCGTGAACTCAACATGCAGAAAAAACCAGCCATTACCAAACTGAAGATGCTAACTCATGTGGTATCTCAACTGAAGAAGTAAGTAGCAATTTTGTAATCATTTTTTTAAGAAAGATTTGCAAGTATTAGTGAGATACTGCTAATTGTTATAACTGCAAGAAATCTAGCCCAATCAACCTAAGGTCATAGAATATGATCTGAATTCTTATCACTTGTCATGAACATGAACTACCAAGAATTTTTAAAATGATGGTAGAAATACACTCAAAACTTTGAAATAACGGTTATGACAGTTTTTTAATCACCCAAGTTGCTGTGCGAGTATGTAGATACGCAAGAGTGCATAATGTTTTCTGTTAACTTTTGAGCATTCTTGATGATTTGTAACCACCAACTTTTATGAGTTCAGTATGATGATTTAGGTACTCTTGAAGTAAATTCTAAATAGAATTTTAAGAATTTCTCTGTGACAGCTCAGCTGATGTATTTGATATCAGTTCCCATCTGTTTTTTGTTGTTGTTGTCAAAAACTTTTTACAATTTCATCTTCTTCTCCAGAACCAATGGGTCAATTTCAACCAAATTTGGCAGAGAGTATCCTTGGGTAAATGGGATTCAATTTTGTTCATATGAAGGGCCACATCCTCTTCTAAGGGGAGATAATTAAGAAATAGTAAAAATTGAGTGGGATCATTTAAAAAATCTTATCAAGAACCATTGGGCCAGAAAAGATGAAACTTACCTGAGAGCCTCCTGACACTGTAGATTCTATTTTGTTCAAATAGTGACCCCACAGGGGCAGGGTTGGGCCACTATGGGCAAAAAAGTTTTACATGCATATATATAGGAAAAATCTTTTAAAAATGTATTCTCAAGATCAGCAAAGCTGTGTTTAGTCATATTTAAATAGAAACATCATCAAGTAGTTTAGATTCAAATTTGGTCAAATCATTACCCCCTGGGGTACGGTGGGGCCAAAATTGCCAATTAAAGTATTTCTTAGGAAAACAGGAAAAAACCTTTAAAAAAATTTTTTTTCTAAAACAGCAAAGTCATGATTAGTCATATTTATATGGAAACATCCACAGGTAGTGCAGATTAAAATTTGTTTAAATCATGAGCACTGGGGGGTAGATGGGGCCATAATGGGCAATAAGGATGCATGCGAAAATCTTAAAAAATCTTTTCAAGAACAGGATAGCCTTGATTAGTCATATTTATATGGAAGCATCCTCAGGTAGAGTAGATTTAAGCTTGTTCAAATCATGACCCCAGGGGATGGGGCTACAATGGGTAATCAAAGTTTTACATAGGAATGTATAAGAAAAATTTGCTGGTGAAAAACAAGAAGGATCATAATTACTCAGGTGATCGTTGTGGTCCATGGGCCTCTTGTTGACTTCTTTCCTGAAATGGCTGAACCATTATCTTTACTATGCATCTTCTACTAATGAGGGGAAACAAAATTTTTTAACTTGGTGCATAGTAAGAAGACCAATGTTATTTCAATATACATGTACATGTATTAATGATCTCTGTGTCATCTACCATAAAGCTAGACTCATGGCATTTATGTCTAGAATTCCAGTCGTAGGTCAGGTTACTTGGTCAAAGCTTGAGAAATTCATTAATTAAACTAAGGTGACTTTTAAAAATTGGGGGGGGGGGGGGGGGCTTAATATCAACTGGACATCTTCAGATTTATGAATGTGCCAGCACTGTATATATATATCTAAACAATAAAATATATGTATCATTAATTTATTATAGAGCTGATCTTCACTCGGCCTTCCTGGATTGTGGAGTGCTCAGTGCTATGACGGTAAGAATTTTTACATAGTTATTTTCTAGAGAAGCAATATACTCTACAACAGAGTAAAGGTACACCATGTCTTACCATCTGTAGCTCCAGAAACTTTCAAACACATTAGATATGATGTGCTTGCACACATATACTTTAAACATAGTTATTTTCTAGAGGAGCAATATACTCTACAACAGAGTAAAGGTACACCATGTCTGACCATCTGTAGCTCCAGAAACTTTCAAACACATTAGATGATATGATGTGCTTGCACACATATACTTTAAACATTGTTATTTTCTAGAGGAGCAATATACTCTACAACAGAGTAAAGGTACACCATGTCTGACCATCTGTAGCTCCAGAAACTTTCAAACACATTAGATGATATGATGTGCTTGCACACATATACTTTAAACATTGTTATTTTCTAGAGGAGCAATATACTCTACAACAGAGTAAAGGTACACCATGTCTGACCATCTGTAGCTCCAGAAACTTTCAAACACATTAGATGATATGATGTGCTTGCACACATATACTTTAAACATTGTTATTTTCTAGAGGAGCAATATACTCTACAACAGAGTAAAGGTACACCATGTCTGACCATCTGTAGCTCCAGAAACTTTCAAACACATTAGATGATATGATGTGCTTGCACACATATACTTTAAACATTCTTATTTTAACAGAAGTCATATTTTAGCACCTTTCATGTTCGCTAATTTTCATGTATGTACAAGTGTGATATAAAGTAATACTTATTCTTTTAAAAACTCAAATGCACTTATGATTGCGCTAATCAGTTGAAGAGGAAAATACTGCTGAAGTTTGAGTGCCCTAATTTATGTTCTTTAATTAACAGCACCTTGACTCTAATTTTGTCCATGTCAGGTGATTTTTTTTTTTTGATAGCAGTAAATTTATAAACATGATAAAGACAGAATAAGTTCTGATCTTGTAGACTTCAGATATTGATTTAGATATTGATAACTAGCAGAGAGAAGGTTAAAAGTTCAAGATATCTATATGTTATTCACATGTCTGTTAACATTTTTGTGAGACTCATCAAATGTGAGTTCTTTCAAGTCTTAACGAGTTCATACTCTTTACAAAAGAGTATCCAGTGATTAAAAGAAAGCACTTGAAGATTTTTCAATCGTTAAATTTAAGATCAATGTCATTGATATATCTGTCAATTATACATATTATGGAATGACATATTAAGTAGAGGATAGTAAAATAAGTTACTTAAAGATATTTGGTCCCACACTCAAAGGTCAAGGTTAAAAGATCATTACTATGGATATGAGCATACTGCAGGGTGCAATATGGCCTTGACAGCTTTTTAGTGATGGAAATGTGTATCAATGCTGACATTTGTTTACATTTCAGGAATGGCTAGCTCCTCTACCAGACAAAAGTCTGCCCCATTTACAAATCAGAGAAAAGTTTCTACGCATCCTACAAGAGGTAATTATTTTTAAAGGAGATAATTTGCATGTTCATCTGATGCATTGTATAGGATTAAACTTTTGAGTTACAGTTCTTAGACTAATTTTGAAATAATTCACCAATTTAAAATAACTTTAAAAAGTGAATTGTTTCAAAAAAGATTTCTTTGTAAATATATCTTGCTGGGTTTTTTTTCTTTTTGGTCACAGTTTCCAGCCATCAGTCAAGAAGGGCTGAAGGCAAGTGGTATTGGTAAGGCCATTATGTATCTGTACAAACATCCAAAGGAATCCAAAGAAAACAAGGAGAGGGCAGGCAAACTCATTAGTAAGTCAAACATTTAGTAATGTCACCATTATGTGTCTCCAGGTAGTACTAAATACCTAACATACAAAACTAAATTCTTGTAAAGAGATAATAATTATATTTAGTTGTAAATCAACATGGGGTAATTAAGAAACCTGTCTCTCTCAGGTGACCTATTAGTATGGGTTGTTTTGTGTCATCTAACTTAAGTTGGGTTCAGGGTTCAGATCCCAAGGTGGGGCTAAGTCTGTCTTAAATTTAGAAAAATCATTTATAAAATCAGCCAAAATTTTGAAATTGATGTCCCCTTGGTTGAGACCCCAAGTTGGGGCTAAATTTGTCATTAAATTGTATATTTATTTATTGTTGACGGTGTTCTTTATTTGCTGATATTTAAACACAAACAAGATGATAATGAACCCCTTTACCAAATTGTGAAATTCACATCCCTACTTGGCATAAGGTTTATACCAAAATTTTGGGCCAAGTTCATTGTATATTGAATATTCATTATATCTTCAGAAACATTTTATACTCATACACTCATAAACTGCCAGGAGACAAAGTCTATGCAATGTGATAATGAAATTTGTACATGTATATAACACCTTTTCTTGAAGGTCTTTATTGAAAACTAAGTGGGCAGAACAAACTTTTTTATTTCTAATCATGTTCATTTAAGAAATAAACAACAATGTTAAAAAGTTCTCTGGGAAATGAACTTGGTTGGTCACGTGATCAAATCCTGTGAAGCCCGAAGGGCTTCTCAGAAGATTTGATCACGTACCAACCAAGTTCATTTCCCAGTGAACTTTTTAACATTGTTGTTTATTACTTTTATTTACATTTGAGACGAATATTCTGAATAGAACTGCATTTATTACACGAACGGCCCGCCGTATTGCTATGTTGTGACGCGCAATGACCTAGAAGTTGTTTGGTCTTGAGAGTTCGCCTCGCTCCAACATTTGAATACTTACATTGATGTTTAGCAGTCCAGTTCAGGAAATGTCTGTTCATAATGAAAAAACAATGATCGCTACTGGGAATTATCTTACTATTATTGTACGAGTTCTTTATATATAAAGTCAAAAGCGGTGCTATCGTCTTCAGTTTACATACTTTCAAAGGAATTTCGGGTTAAAAAGGTAAGCGTGATTTTAGGCTAATTAGAAACATTCTTCACACCGAAGAAAGATCTAACGATCATTTGTTGAACGAAAAAAAAATATATGTTTCAATAATTTTATCTTTTTCATCGCTTTGACGGTTCAGAAGTTCCGAAACCAGTGTCACTGTGACAGAAATATGTAGACAAGATATCGTCTCGCTGTGTGATTCGGTCACGCCATGACCTCTGACCCCCTAATAAGTTCATACAGAATTGAACATATTTTCTCTTCTATAGGTTCATCTAAGAAAAATATTTGCAAATGTAAATAAATCAGGGATTTGGGCCAAGTTCATTGTAAATTGAAAATTCATTACATCTTCAGACACAGTTCATGTAATGTGATAATGAAATTTATCCATGTATGTAACACCTTTATTTTAAGGTCCCTATTGAAAACTTTGTAGGCAAAACAAGCATTTCTCCTACTAACCATATATGTACATGCATTACAAAATCAATATTTTTATTTCAGATGAATGGTCTAGACCCATCTTTAATTTGACATCTAACTTCAAGATGTTGTCCAAACAGGAAAGAGAGGAAAGAGACTATGAACAGCTGCCAAAGAAGAGAAGAGTCAGGTAAAAGGGGGAAAAAGAGCTAAAAGGGGGAAAAAGAAGAGTCAGGTAAAAGGGGGAAAAAGAGTCAGGTAAAAGGGGGGGGGGGAAGAAGAGTCAGGTAAAAGGGGGAAAACTGAGGTAAAAGGGGGAAAAAGAAGAGTCAGGTAAAAGGGGGAGGGAAGAAGAGTCAGGTAAAAGGGGAAAAAGAAGAGTCAGGTAAAAGGGGGGAAAAAGAAGAGTCAGCTAAAAGGGGGAGGGGGGAAGAAGAGTCAGGTAAAAGGGGAAAAAAGAAGAGTCAGGTAAAAGGGGAGAAAAAAGAAGAGTCAGGTAAAAGGGGAAAAAAGAAGAGTCAGGTAAAGTGGTGGGGGGGGGGGGGGAGGTGGGGGGGGGGGGGAAGAGTCAGGTAAAAAGGAAATGCAGAGCCATTTTTGGAAATTTTAAATCTAACAAAACTACCAAATGCTCAATGTTGCATTTTAAACTCTAAGACCAGAAGAGTTTTTGTGATGGTAAGATGTCCATAATTAATATATGTAGTTCTCGGTTTGTCTGTCTGTAAGCAATTTTTCAAAATGCTACTCCTCCTACATTTACTCCTTCAATTTTAATAAATCTTGCCACGTACACAAGTAGACTTCACCAAAATACATTATTCTGTGTATTGTTTTCGATTTCAAATAAGAGTGTTTACATGGTTGTCAAAAATGGAAAATCTTGTGAAATTCTTTATAAACACTACCCTACAGCAGATATGGTCTCATTTCAATAAACTTGGTACATAAGTAAGCCCCAAAAATTTATGGCACCACTGTAAAGCTTTTCAATTTCAAGGGTAATAACTCCAGATCAGACCAATATCAATAGGACTTGCTTCTAGCCTTCTGATTAAGAGGTCCACTATGTTATCCAGATAACAATGCAAAATAATTGACACATTAAGATTACTAAAAGTATTTGGTTTTGATTTGCAGTGCAGAGGGAATGACTCCCAGAAGAGACATTGACAAAGCTTTAGTAGGTGAAGATAAGTAAGTGTTAGATATTTATGACAAAGATAGAAGTCATCTATATACAGTTGAACTTTGGTATCTCAAACATATATCTCTGAAGTATTATGGATCTGTTAAAGTGAGTCAGATATCTCAAATCCTTGGATATCTCCCAAAAAAAAATTTGATCTCTTCCAGATTGAGATAACAAGGTTTGACTGTATTAAATTTCATGACCTTGAAAATGGTTTTACAGTAGTTATACAATGACCTTGATATTTGAAGATAAAAAGTTAAATGTGATTTGTTCTTTACAGACAGCTAAGACCAGGTGATAAGGGTTGGATAAACAGAGCTAGAGTACCTATGCCATCACACAAAGATTACGTTGTACGTCCCAAATGGGCAGTAGAAGAAGGAATGCAAGGAAAGGTAAGCAGATTTCATCGTCTACCTCAGTCCCTCCATAGTGTTGTGGTATACAGTAAAACTTGCTTGTAAGGACTTTTTCTATTGCAAGGAAAGGTAAACAAATTACTGTGTATATCACATTTCCTCCCATAGTTTTGTGAAATAGAATTTGCTTTTAAGGATTTTCTAAGAAACTTGGATTTAAAACCAAGTTTTATTGTAAATTACTTAGTAATTGTATTTTTATACTCTTTGTTTTATCCTTTTTTGTATAATTGTACAGATGTTTTACAAACTTTCTATGGACTTTTTAGAGCTCTGGAAAGAAAGCGCCATCCAGGTATGATAAGCATGTGAGAGCATTTGCTGAAAAGAAGAAGTTCAGTAAGGCCCAGAGGGCAGTGACTATCAGTATAGAGGGCAGAAATATGGCCCTCTGAGTCATCAAAGGTCAGACACTAACATGTCTCACTTAAGTTGTGAAACTACTATCACAGACACGGGGTATTTTGGTAGGACTCTCAGAGAAAGAACATGCATATTGAGTTTGCGAAAGCAGACATCTGTGAAGTGAGGAATTTTTGAGTATTTAGTACAAGTGTGTGTAAATGTATCAGGGAGGAATATATGACATTCATCATGTGATTAATAACTTTCACCATTCAACATTTGTCTGGAGTATGTATGTGACTTAGGCATTCCCATTCATATGGCATATATTATGAAGAATGTTTTAAGGACATTGTCAGTGCAGACAATCCCATGGTGCTTGCAGTTGAGAATTAGAAAGTGTGTATCGTTTATTAGTATCCATCTGTGTGAATTGAGAGCACATTAATTTTCAAACGTTTTCAAATGCTTAAAAAGGTTTTGGTTTTTCAGAGAGGAAATATTTGCTGGTGATTGTGTACATGTGCTACAATATCATAGCTTGTAAATCACATTTATTTTACTTATTTAAAGTTTATATCTTTTTAAAGATGTGAAAATACAAGAGGTTCTGTAACCAATTTTCAGCCAAATTTATGTTACATAAATATGCATTCTCCTATTTAAAAAAAAAGATTGTAATACCGGGTAAAAACAGATACAGTTCATAATGGAAATGCTGTTTTTTCATTCCATAACAAATGGAAATAAAAATCGTTTGTCCTCTACTTGACGTGTTCAATATTTCTTATTCTTCATACTGTATGTGTATATATTGAATATTCATAGGAATTTACACATCAACCTTACAAAGTCATAAAGCATTTGGTTTCTTGGAAAAGAATGGTAGATATGAACAAAATAAGACATTGTTTTTGTTATGCATGCTTTCTGCAGTTTATTCCCGTATATCCGGATTCACATTTACAATTACTTCCGGTCTGGTGGGCCTTACACTGACATGCACAGTTGGACTGATTAACTGTTGCTCCATTGTAGCAGTAGGTGTTACAGTGACTCGTGCAGTCATTTCCTAATTATAAGAAAGTTGATCAAATACAAAGTAAAATACAGGTGACAAGATCCTACAAAAAGTGTAATAAAGCTTTTAGAGAGACTTCTGAACAGTTCTTATCCTTATGTGGTATAACCAATCTGTTAAGATCAGATCCTTTGATCTGCTCACATAGATCGCTACAAAATTTAATCTTGAAGTGTATATATAATGTCCTCTCAAAAGACTACAAAACTGTTTTTGCACATGGATGAAATTTTTGGCTGCATTAAAATGATTTTGAAATCCTGTCTAAAAGAATGACTTGGAAGTACAGTGTAAGTTGATATGTAGATTGACTCACCATAAAATCCCCTAGGACAGTCACAGGAGCAGATGTTTGTGTTAAATGTACCTCCATTAGCACACTGCCCTTGACAAGTCTTAACTTGAGGAAAAAGTGCTTAGTATGACAACCAACAAAAAGTATTGTAACCAACAACTGTATATTTCAGTTTCCTGTAGAAATATTTAACATGAACTCACCAGACTTTGGAAGAGAATAGGCATAATGAATGCCTGTATTATTGAAATCTTTATTTTGGAAAATCTGAAATGGTAAATGTCACTGAAGTATTACATCTTGCACTTGTGTATGAAAAGCATGATTTTTTTTTTTAAAAAAGAAATAAGTTCAGATAACCTTGATAGTCGCTGGCTCATTTATTGGTCCCGTTGTGTAAAGAAACTGATCATGGAAGAAATAGTTCCAGTAGGCACCAGCAAAAGTGACAGGGTTGTCTCCCGTTTGAAAGATCCAGCTGCTCCCGATCATACTAGCCAGAACCACTGCTCCGTCTTTAGTGTAGATTTCTAGAACAATGACAAAGGTTAGAGCATCAGTGTATTTTATTAGCTGACTAGTACTAATAATTATCAATTTGAAAATAGATTTAAACTTCCGGAAAAGGAGGCATTCCTGCGAACCAAATATAAAATCTTTGTCTGGAAAAGAAGGCATTACTGCGAACCATATACAAAATCTTTGTGAATTCCTTAAGTAAAAGACCACGTTTTGATTTTTGTTTTTTAATATGGATTTACACTGGCCAAAAATTGAAATAATTAAAATAATCATATCTAAATATATTACATCTTGCTCTTTTTTGATGAGCACACAAAAGGGATGACCGATTTTTCATATAATTACATTTATAAAGTTACTATCTCAGGTATACTGAAGTTTTTACTATGTTGCTCACTCCAAAGTTCACAACTATATCAATCTTACCTAGGAAGTTTTGTTTCATCGATGTGTAATCGAACCAAAACTGTATGTTATATGCCCCAACAGGAATCTCAGCAATTACTTTCCGGGAACCTAAGAGTGACCATCAAATACAAAACAGACAGGTTTCAAATTCAAATTTTAAAAACGTACATGTATTGATCTTTTTTTTTCTTCCAAGGGTCAAGTGAGCTATTAATAATTATCAAAGCGTCCATCTATCTGTTGTCAACCAAACACTTGGGTGTTTGTTCAAATGAAGAACCACACCCTATTTCAATGTGATATCATTAAGAAATGAAATTAAGTTAGGACCTACAGTATTTCGCATACTTCGTCAGGACTGTACAATTGGTCTATGGTAGTTGTGGCGCATGGGCTTTTCTTTTCTCTTTATTCTTAGAATAGTGCAAAGCTAAAACTCTGACTGAGCTTTTTTAAAATCACAGTAAGCCAAATAGCTGCTCCTTATGACGGTACAATTTTGTCGCCCTGTACATATTTGTCGCCAGTGACAATATGTACATGCACCTACATTCAGTGGACATATCTGATATTGTCGTCCATTGGTATACGTATTGGCACCGGCGACCAATCTAATTAAAATTAGATCTTTGATCTGCTCCAACTAGATCGCTACACTTTGTGTAGCGATCTAGTTGGAGCGGATCAAAGATCTAATTTTAATTAGATTGCACCGGCGACAAAAATGCCGAAATTAGCATTTTTTGTCCCTGATAAATGGGCGGCAAACTTTACCTTTAAGTTACATATCTCCACCTATTGTTGTCGGCGACAAATTTACTTAGAATGATTGCATATTTTTGACACCAAAAGTATCGTTTTTATTATTTTACAAAAGAGAGAGAAAGAGAGACTTAATCATGTTAATCTCCCTCTCCAAAAAGCAACTTATATATTAACTGTAGCCTTTCATTGCAGCTTCATTTGAGTTAAAAATGACAATTGTGCGAGAAAAAAAACATTGATTTGGTGAACATGCAATCTCATAAAAACTGAATATGAAGTGAGGATAAGTACATATTGTTGCAGAGGACAATATGTACTTCGTCATCTTATGATGACATCATTATGATACCTCTGGTAGACAACTCGGTAAACGTCCCTTCCACTACGTCACATGTTGTCTCGTCCCCATTACAAACACCACACCCATCAAAGGTACCTCCATTGAATACACCATCACAACCAAATAACTGAAAATTACAGTGTGCAACAAATTTCAAACTGAAATGTAGATCACTTTTTCATTCGCGAAAACTTTATTTTTGCGTAAATACGCGAGATAGTTTGCTGCGAAAAATTCATTTTCGCCTTTTATTGTATTATTAAGGAATATATACAACATTAACTTCAGTTCGTGAAAATTTTGTCTCGCTTATAAATACTAAATAGCTATCTCGCGAAAATGAGGTGTCGCGAAAATATAGTGATCTACGGTATTAATATAAAATGCAACCAGTCATGTGGAAATATACTTCCTTGTAATAACAAAACTCAAATTCGGCAAATTGATACATCTATGCAGCTCTGCAGTTATAAGGCCTTAGGCATTTTTTGGTGAAAAGAAGGGGTCGGCGGTCCCATTCCCATTATATTCGAGAGAGAGAGAGAATAATATGATTTACTAAGGCCATCTTCAAAAAAATGTTTGTTTGCCCTCTCCCGACCGACTGCCTAGAAATGGCGCGACGCAAAACTTTTTTAAACCTCTTGGAAACGAATTTTTTTTATTCCTGGATTTTCTCATCCTGTCAATACGTATTTTGAAATTTTCTAGGAAAAAAAAATTCCCAACCTACCTACTGACACAATTTTTTTTACCCTGAGTCGGGAGAGGGCAAACAGATATTAATTTGAAGATGGTGTGATAGGTTGTGGTTGTGGCCAATCATTAAGTAACATTTCTTTGACATGCACCTGCATCATGAGTAGTGGAATATAATTCATATATTTTGATAGACAAAACAAACAACTAGTACCTGGCAGTATCCATCCAAACACCTTGCACTGTAACCTTGCCTTCTAGGCCAGCCATTTCTGTCCATCTTGTTCAGAATCCCAGGACACGGGGTTCCTTGCGGCATCAAGCCGAACCTGGTAAATGTCGGAGTCTTATACCCCGACACAGGGGCACAGGAAACTTCACATACTCCATGAGCTACAGGAGAAAAGAATTCTGAATCAGAACTAACCTGAATCAAAATCTTCAGGGAATTTTTTAAAGATATCCAGATCTTGTTTCCTTGATTCTCCCTAGTACATGTACCTAAGCGTCGAATATCTGGATTTTACATTAAATGTTTTTACCATGGGAATTATAAAGGCTCCCAACTGCAGTGTACAGGGTGGAATTTATTACGCTGTTTTGCAACATTCTGGCGCATGTTTCCGATGCCCTTTGCTTTATGAGGGTGTCTGTGTTTAAACTATCACCTGGACAGGGCTAAAAATAATAATTTACAGGTTTGTATGCAACTCATCCTGCTTAATGATAATCAAAGTAATGGTCATTAAGATCCTACTTTATATTCTTTTTGTTTAACACGCAGTGCAATTTTTCTTGGTTTAAAAGCTGCGATATTGTATATGCAAAGTTTGAGGCCTACGAGGATTAAGCTACCCGAGGAGTACAGTTATCAACGTTCAAAGGGCGCTTGTTATTTCCTATATCATCGTATTGACAGCAAAAAATACATTTTTTTTTATATAGGCCTAATTCAATTATTAAAATTTCTAGCTTTTCCATTCATTGTTTTCGAAATCAACCCCAATAAAAAGGTTTGTAGAATTTAGAAGGTGATAGCTTTTTTGTCAATGAAAAGTCCATACATATTTGATATAATACCTTGGAATAAATTGTGTATATCAAAATCTGTGCTTAATCGGAAAAAGAAGCCTTCTTGGTGCAGCTTCATTTTCGAGTGTCCAATTAACCATTCACATACAATATCGCAACTATGGAACTGATAAAATATGTAAGACACGTCGTCCTTCTCTGTGATATAGATGGAGGAAGGTACTAGTTCTGTTTAAACGCGATTTTATTCAGATAAAGTATTTCACACACCTCCTCAAACTGAAAAGTTTACCAGCGATAATGAAAGATGATAGGCGTGGGTTTGTTTTGTTTCAAATAATAGCTTTCATGTTTTTCACAAACCTGAGAATTGCATATCCTAGCTTCGTATCCTTCAGCATCACCGCCATTACAACCTGGGTAGTTGAGTGGGCTACGTAGAATAATACAGTTAGTGTTTAAAGGCTTAAGCTTTTCTGCTCACAGTCTGTATATCTGTCTGTCTCTCGCCCATTAGAAAACGAGGACACACATTGAAATTTAAAAAAAAAAAACTTTTTCCCTTGTAAAAGGAAATTCATATTTCTTGAAAGAGCTCCTTTTGTAGGGAAATTTAATGACTTATAAAGAGATAAAGATACAAACCTTGGATTGTTACATAATCGTCTTCTAACTGTAAGTCCCGACCCACAGCTCCGTGAGCAGGGGTACCAGCGTGTCCATGGTCCCCACCCCCCGTGTCTGACCACGCCCGGTGTCTGTCTGGCTGCAGCAAAGGTAACACACCTCTGATTGAAACACATCTGCCAAAGAAAAGACCTCGGAGTTACTGTCAGAAGTGATAGTTTTATAGAACTCTGCCCTATGACCTGGTATTGGTCCTCTTTTGACCCATGTGGCAAATGAACAAGTCTATTTGTTGTGCGGATTAAAATTTGAATAACATATCGTAAATCATTCCTTAAAAGGTTTTAACCTGATCGTTCATCTGTAAAATGTAGGTCAAATTCAACATCTGCAGCATTTAATTTATAATCGTTAATTTCTACTGAGACACCATGTGTGCACGTTTAGTCAGTTTTGGCCTTTTTTGTAACTTGAAAAAAAAAATAAAATCAGATCTGTTTGTCATATAGTGTAGTTGTCAGTTGACCATTAACATCTCTAGTCAGTAAAACATCCAACAACAGACATGGCAGACTGTGTGGCGTCTTTAATTTCGAGTTCACTGGGATTATATCGAGTCGATATGTGTATAAAAGTAACTTTTAATTAATAAACGTAATCTATTCATTCTAAATGTCGAACTGATGGCCACAGCAAGAGATTTCTTCCTCTCATGTAGAAGTTTTTTTTAGGGGATGGGGTGGAGATAAATTCTGCTTCATAAGAATATAAAAATAGGTCAGCCAATAAAGAAGCACAACCAGTTCCAATAGTTCATTGGAAGACCTATAATCTCCAAAGACTGCATGAGGAACTCCAGCATCTTCTTGAATAATTTAAACTTCTGGGTACTTGTAAATAGAACCAGGATGGATTTTTGAATTTTAACAAAGTAGTTTTATAACTGACCAATCACACCATATGAAAATTTCCGAGTTAATTTTTATTATTGAAGCAATTGTCATAGATGTCAAAAAGCCTGGAATGGCTGTATAATTTAAAGCAATTAATACCATGGTCGTTGAAATAACAGTATTAGAACAGTTTATATTTCAATTTTATTTCACCTACGAAAACAAAGTCCGAAATTAATTCGTCCTTTGTGCAATTATTGGTCTGCATATCTTACAAAAGTTCAACAGTATTTAAGTATAGTTTAAACAGTATTTATTTACCTTTCCGTCTCCGCAGTATGAACCTGGGATTTCTTTCCATTGTGAAAACATCTCTCCAAAATGTCTGCCATTGTTGTAATTTACACAGCTGTACTGTTCACAGTTCTACTATGGAAGCAATAAACACAAATAGATTTTACTTTTTCAAAAAAGTCCAACAAAGTTCATTAAAAAAGTTAAATTGGTTTTACTTACCCCGAGATAAGGAAATGTACGGAAATGGAAGTTAGGACCGTACAGCTTTTCGCATACTTCGTCTGGACTGTACAGTTGACCTGGAAACCAATATGTGACATACATGTATTACACAATATACCGCCAAGTATTTAATAACTCATTTCAGATTTAATACATTTCAGAATATCTTTGAGTGGAATATTTTTTTAGAATGCGAATCTTCAAAATCTATTTGTTTTCTCAATTGTCCCAAATTTTCCATAAGGTTTTATGATGCCAATTCTCGGCTCTTCAGAAATTATATTTGCGTAGAGACAAAAATACATAGACAGTCAGAAGGACATATCAAAATCACTGATGACAAAATACTGTCCTTATAATATTGTTGGTTGAGGTAATGCGAAGGGAGTTTTCTTTTTTTTAGGTTTAAGTAGAATTTGCGTTGTACCTAATAAAACAGGCCTCAGCGGACTGTATTGTATGATCCCTCTTACTGCAACGTCTTCACGAAACAAACACTGAGCGCTGCTACTTCTACATGTATGTATAATACATCAGGATGAAAAATACAGTATTACGTTACACCATAATTAATACTCGTTTCACTAAATATTGACTTTTTAATACATGGATTTTTCCTTTCTCAGAGCTAAGACCTTCTTTGTATACAAAAAATTCAAATCCATCATTATTTTACGTCTCTTCCTTACTATACGTCTGACAAAAAACAGACGATGTTTTGAATGTATGTTTTCTTTTATAAAACATTTTCAAAAAATTAATCAGAATAACAAATTGGGCAAAAGATTTTATTTTGATGACTTACTGTAAAAATGTATTTAAATCATTGATACTACATGAACTCCACCCAGCTCCATATCCTCCCATGAGACCTACATCATTTCCGGTGCATCCTCGAATGTTATCGTGGTACATTCCAAGACTGGTATGATATTGAAAAGATACCTTAGTGCCTTAATCTTACTTTTTGATGAAACAATTGGTGATTTTTTTTCTTTTAGAAAAGAGCCTGCATTCAATACATTTTTTTAAATCACATAAAAAATTTATACACTTTTTTTTCTTGAAAGCACCCAAGGTTGTTCTTAAACATTACAAAAATGATTATGCTTTAATATTTGCTAAATTACCTGTGGCCAATTTCATGAGCCGTTGATTTGTATTCAAATATTGAACCAGAACTCTCCACACCACAGCGGAAATAACGATTACAGGCACTGGACTGATACGATCTCCCGACAACATCAGTATTCATCCTATTTTAAGAAGGAAAAAAATATTTTTATAGAATAAAATACATGGTATTCCCCGGCACCTTTAGTTTAGATATTGACCATATATAAAGAAGTAAAATGGTTTGCATATTGTTCTTTTCCTTTCATCAGGTATATGAGGCGTGTGTTAGTATTTTGAGGGTATTTTCTTATATCAAAAAGGGATTAATACTTTTTGGAAATTAGAAAGTACCTCAAAAATTCACAAACAACGCCTCATAGATGTAAAGTTCTTGTGAAAGTGTTTGTGTGTCTTTAATTGGTAAAAAAAAGTATTATGAATTCAGAATTTTATTTTTAAATGAATTTCTAAAGTCCTTCACTTTCATACAATCTTAGAATTGAATCACTCACCCTGTGTGAAGAAAGATAAGGTCATAAGGAATAGGGTTGTTTCTCATTCCAGTGCAGAAAGTACTCAGGGACTGACTAATGGTGGTGGACATTTTGTAAAACGACTAAAAAAATCCATACAACATTGTTAAGATTTGACACTTAATCACTTAACCAACATAACATTAAGATTCAAAGTGAGTCAAAATTGAAATCGGAGGGCAAATTTTTCAACGAACAATATTATGCGATTAAGAAGAATGTGTATTTAAAAATAATATTTTATTAATTAAAGGGTTTTCACTCCTGGCAATGTTACATGTAGTTGTCTGTTTATTATCGTTATAAACATGCTTGTGTTTGATGGCTACTTATGTCTCTATTTTAGAAAACTAAAGGTTTGGAAATATATTTTTTGAAAACAGTAGCACGTGTGTGTTCTCCCTTTTTCCAAATCATTAATAGTAAACGAATCTCTAGTAAGTTATTTGAGAACTTGTTTCCAATCCTTTTGATTTAATCAATAAAATATGTTCAAAATAAAAGAATCTCTGTTCTGAGTTCAAATTTGACTAAACATTTATCTAAAATAAAAACATTTCAAATAAAACTTTTAAGAGAACACGTATTTATGCCTTATGTAAATTAATCTTTAATTAAAACATTTCAGATAATATGTATTACAAGAAAAGATATCTCTACCTTCTGTAAGTTTATCGTAGATAAAAACATTTGAAATAAAAAGGTTTAAGAGAAAAAGTCAAAGTTTTCTGTCTTTTGTAAATAGGAAGATAGTCACAATGTTTGTTTTTACTGGTTTCTCATTAACTTATTTTAACTTTAATGTACAGTATGAATAACACCCGAAATGCAAGTTATGTTCAATGAAACCTTAAAAATCAAATCAAAATCATAACTATTTTTGACAAATGTCTTGAATTTGAAAAAATATATTGAGTGATTTTATAGATAATCTCTAGACAAAATTATTTTTGTGTGGTTCAAAAAATTAGAATAATATTGGGTGGAATTACCGGGTTTGTCTCCAAAAATCCGATATATTTAATTTGAATTCTGACGTCATAATGAAGTTCATTATAGCGGGACCATTCCATTTGTACCTGAAAATAATATTTCGTTTTAAAAATGAAATGAAGAAGATATGAAAGCAAGTATAAAGGAAAAATAAAATCTATATGAATTGAACCAGAAAAATCCAGCAACTTTCCCTGACAGTAGACTACAAAATTGAAATACAAAATAATGTACATAATAAGATACACGTATCTATACTCTTTAATCAAACGTGATCAATATTCATGCCCACGTAAATGTACAAAAAATAAGTTTAAATTCGAATAATTCTATGTTTCTACCCCATTATACTTCAATATCATCAGTTCAATTCTTTTTGCGGTGTCCTTGGAGGGAAACTTTTTGGTGTACTCGCTGTCTGTGTACACAGCCATTTCTACCACTACGTGCCTGGAGGGAGCAGATCGTTTGTTATCCTTTGTCAGTTTCCTTATGTGGTCATTCAGCAGTGAGATGTGGACGCCTAAAAATTTCAAATCAGGTACATGAAATGTGAAAACAACGAAGAGTGATCATGCTCAAAGTCCATTTAAACAATACAAATTGTGAGCAGTGCCAACACTGACCATGGAAAATAAAGGCGGGATCAGGTACCAAGGAGGAATAAGCATCCCTCTCGACGGTTACATCCGCCATGTGCCCCTTGTTATGATCGGGTAAACAGAAAAATCCGTAGAAAATTGGGAGACATAAACACCTTATGCAGGTATATTGCTACATATATAAGGGAGGTTGACGATAGAAAAGTTAAAGAAATCAAGTTTGTCATAAAGTTTAGTTGTTAGTTTGCTATCAATGTCTTTCTCTAGTAAAATATCCAAATATAAAACAGATGTGTCAGTCTCTATGGTATCTTTTATTTCGAGTTCAAGGGGGAAATATTGAATCAACGTATGAACAAAATGAATGTTGTTAATTGACGTCTCTGTTATATGTCGAAGCCACATCAAGAGTCCTCTAGATCTTCTTTTAAAGCCGAAGTTTCTGGACAAATTCTGTTTCATTATAACAGGACACAAATAGTATCGAAGGGAATTTTATCATATTGTTGGAGGACCAGGTGTAATGAAACTGTAAAAATATTTGTCAATGAGAAACCCAAGCATCTTTTTAATATCAGCTCCGGATTACGTATGAGTAGAATCACATTAACAAAATAAGTTTGCAGACGACCAATGACAAAGTACATTGTATGTATTTACCAGTTCCATTTTTATTGAAGAAACAGTTTTCTATGATGTCGAAAAGCCTGGTATTTCATTTATCGTGGGAAATTGTTGTATAAAGTGTTGAAAAGTCTTACGTTTCGATGGCTATTTAATTTTGGTTAAGTTTTCTATTTCAAATTTTCAGTTTTTAAGTATCCATGTTTAAATATTTAACACCACTTCTCGAATACTGAATATGTTGTACAGTATTTCTTAAGTTTCTCCTTCAGTGCCGTTAATATATTCGTGAGGAGTAAAGAAAGAGGCTTGGTAGAAGATTTACTAAAACCCACTATGTATCTTTGTAAGGATTTTTATAAAGTTTAAAAATCCAGTTTAGATACGGTAATTCAAATGAATTTGATTGTTGGAAAAATTAGAAATATTTAAAACTGACATGTGATTTTGAAGTTGTCGTCTAAACCTTGCATTTCCTACAGATATATTCCAAAACTATTGCTTCCAAACTTTTCAATTATAAACAAATCTTAAAGTGCTTAAAAACTGAACATCTAAAACAAAATCCACTTAAGTGTTTGCGCTCTTCTTCTTCTGACAGAACTTCATTCTATTCTAAGCATTTTAGAAATACAGTTTATAGAATCCTTTTAGAAAGTTAAAAGACAATATTCGAATCATATATCCTTCCGTTTTCACTAAATTGGAGGTGATGAAAGAATTAGAAAGACTACATGAACAAAATGTTATGGTCCCAGCAGACAAGGCTTGTGACAATATCGTCTTTATTTGTAAGGCTCATTATTATAAATTTATTTTAGAAGAACTTGGTTTTAATTCTACGTCTGGGAATCCAACTTATACTTACAGTTCACTTTCTATGGATGAAATATTTCAAAATCACATTTAAATGTTTAATACTTTTAACTTTCCAAAACAACCAAGGTGAGTTCGATCTACCTTACCTATACTGGATTCCTAAACTTCATATAAATCCTTACAAACAAAGACACATTGCCGGGTCCAGCAAATACTCTACTAAGCCCCTATCTTTACCCCTTGCAAAACTATTAACTGCTGTAAAGAACTTCAAACGTACTGTGCTATAGCATATTCTAGAAGTGGTGTAAATCAGATGTGGATTCTCAAAAACTCTGAAGAACTTTAAGAAAATTTTAAATCACCAAATTTTTCAAAAGTCTGTACACTTTTCTACACTTCAATCAATCATTCTTCACGATAAATTAAAAACTAGGATTTGATATCATAAATAACTGCATCTTCCAAATCAATGAAACTCGGAAATGGTAATTTTCGGACATTGAGATTGGTCATCAACAAAATTACTTTGTTAAAAATCACTGATTCTACACACAAGTACTCTGAATTCGAAGTCAGTATTAAAAGGATGCTGGATTTCCTCATTGACAGTATCAATGTAGTCTTTGGAGACCAGGTCTTCCAACAATCTGTTTGAATTCGATGGGCACTAATTGTGCTCCTTTATTAGCCGATCGGTTTTTATATCCCTATGAAGCAGAATTTATCAAAAACTTCTACGTGAGATGAAATTACCTGCGCTTTAGCCTTCAACTCGGCATTTATCAATTAACAATACTTACTTCCATTCATATGTCAACTCGATATATACCCCTAAGCACTGGATCCCATCTAGAATTTCCAAGAGTCCGTGTTTTTTGCCTTGTTCGGAGATTTGTATTGTTTGTAGATATTTGTTAGATCGATCACTTTTCGTTATCTTCACTTTTTTTCATTTGAAGAATTTTTTACTAAAAAGGGAACTAGATAAGTTGGATTACATCTTGCTCATCTAAAACGCAGTTGTATATCTAGCCATACAAATATGTTGATAGCTGTCTTGGTAGCTGTAAATATTGATCAAGTAATATATCCTATTCTTTTTTCACTCCTGGATTATCGAAGACAGAAGGAGAGATATTAGTAGTTTTCATATTGCACATTAACCGTTTTAGATGAGATTTCAAATAATCAAAAATAAAACAATAGGAGAAAATGAAAAAAATAAAATAATAAAATAATTATATCATAAAAAATATTTATCACAAAACACACTCTTGCATATAGCAAACGACAACTCTTGCAGCTCTAGACTTCGGCTATTTCCGTGTCGCCGATATTGAACGACGATTCATTACTTGTGACGTAGCAGTGACGTTGCGGTCTAACAATTTTTATGTTGGACTGGCAGGCCGGTCAACAATGAAATTGCTAGACCGATGCAATAAACATTTCTTTTGTTGGACTTTTTATCAGTACTAAATATATAAAAAGATATTTAAAAGGGTATAACAATATTAACTATATTTACGTCACCAGTAATGACGTGTCCAGCGGACTATAGTTGAAGAGAGAACAACATGAACACACAGGATGATTACTCGTATGTTTCAGATGTCTGACATCTAGGCACTGTAGTGTTTTTTGTAATCAAAAAGTTTCAAAGCAATAGTCGGTGGACATGCATGTGTAAGAAATAAAAGGTGTGGACTTCAACTGGAAGTATGGCAGAATGCAAGATAGAACTCTTTTGTGATTAAGAATTATATTAGTAACGTACATGCAATTTTATTCATAAATCAATTCTAAAACTTAAACTTCCTTTTTGAAGTAAAATAGCAGGGTATGATATAACAAAACTAAAAAAAAAAAAAACTTTTTTTATTGTACATGTAAACATGTATTGCTACATGTATAATGTTTATACGTACCTTCCTTTTTCTCTGTGTTTTTCCGTGGTTTTTCTTTAGCAATAACAAGAACAGTTTCACTGTCTGAGAAATTGTATTGCTTGTTGTAGACTGGTGGGAGTTGTTTAACATGGAAGTCTCCAGTCTTTGTAGTTAATCTTCCTTCCTTAAATTAAGTCCGATTTTGTTTACTGAATTTTCAAGTAACAAATTGTTGTATATGACATGTATTTACAGATTTGTAAAAATAGAGATGAGTGATACTGAATAAAATTAATTTTAAACAATTCAAATTCAATGATAACAAGCTAGAAAATGACAAAAACTAAAGAAGAGAAATAACAATAATGTTAATGACAGCACCAATTGAGAAAATTAAATCAATGATGAAAAAAGTGACATCCTATATTCCCTTCAAAGTATGAAATTATGTTTGTTAATTAACTATATTGATATAAAACTCAATTATTGTAAGTTTGCAGAATATAAACTTATGCCAATATGCAATTCATTGTATGAAATATATGCACTTTTAATAATTTATCTGTTGAAGTTCCCCCTTATTTGAAAACAAACCAGAAGTGCATGAATTTGGTGATATACTGGTATCAGTAAATTCCAAGATGGTACAAATTATAAGTTTTCTATCATGGATATTAATAAAATTATATATACCAAGCCATCACAGTGTGAAAGAGAAATCGTTCCCTGATGTGAGGTCAGTTCGCCGACTAAGAAGCAATCTGGTACCGTTCCTTGCCATTCCTTGTCCTCGCCATCGTAACTTGTGACAATTCTGGCTTGTGGATGCAGAATGGGCTCCGCTTTGAATACTTTCATCTGATAATCCTCGCCAAAAGCTGACAATTTTAATTCAGATGGCGAGGAACTTCGTATGTTCCGATGTTTAAAGCTAAATTTAATACACATTGTATAACGAAGTTCAGAAAAATGGAAATATGTTCTCATTTAAATTCTTCATTAATTAAGCTGATATTCACAATTCCAAAATGTAATAAAGCAAGCTAATAGCTAATTCAGGGAATTTATATTACGGACAAAATAAGTTGGTGGAAAACCTAAAAATATGCAGATGTAGAATGAAAAGGGTTGATTGATCATTCATATTCTGGCTTCAAATACATGTAATAGGAGTCCTTCTTAGTTTGAGTCATCACTTTCACTTTCGAATTCATCGCAAAAGCTCAGAGAAAACTTAAATTACCATCTGGAGATTATTTTACGCAATATATGAATTTCTGACTTTGACCTTTACCTCAAAATCAATAGTGAGAGGGAGTATGATATAAAATTTCATTGCAAAAATTTAAGGAGAACAAAATCATCTGGAATTCATTTACTGCAATGTATGTATTTTTGACTTGAACCATTGACATTTTGACCTAAAAATCAGTAGAGGTCTTCTTGAATCATGGGGAGTATGTTATTACATTTTATTACATAAGCTCAAAAAGATCTAAAGTTGTCTAGAAACCATTTAATTCTTACCTTTATATACATTGTATATTGTATAATATATTAAAAAAGAACAAATATAAACCTTTAGTATACTAATAGTAAATGTAGGCCAAAATAGAAGATTTAACTTGAACATAAAATAAGAATTTCTTAGATTCAACTTTTTAAAATCTATCAATGACTAAATATTTATATATGGTAGGTTAAAAAAGTTAAATCATTACTATTTCTTAGTTTACAATAAGAAAGAGAAAGGAGGCGTGCAAAATGCCTTTAGTTTCAAATGTGTAAAAATCAAATTATTAATTTGTGAAGTAAGTACTAGTATTTAGAATAAAGTTCTCAATTATTGTAAGGTATGAATTAATGACAAACAAAACTTTTCTGCAGAAAAAAAAAATCTCTCAACAAAAAATATTCTTTGGTTTTAAAAAGAGGCCCAATGGCCTTAACGGTCACCTGATTATAATACAACAATTTAGAGGATCCATAGAGTATAAAATAAACTGATAGATCAAGCTCTGTTGCCCAAAAGCATCTTGAGAAATAGGATGATCAGGATTAACGAAATAATTAGTCTATCATACAGTAACAACTCATGTTCTAATCTGTCCCCCATTTATCACTGTCATCATGCAGACTATTAACAAACTATTAGTGCTTCTGTATCATTTTTACCCTATTTTGTAACCTATCATATTCGCCTCTATTGGTTTTTAAAGGAACATTTCTAAAATAAGACAAGTTATTTTTGTCTCATTTTTATTCATCTATTAATTACAAGTCTACCTGATCATTAAAACTATGAAAGTACTTTTTGTATTATACAATAAAATTCTTGCATAATTCTCTTATTCTATTAACTTTTCAAATACATTATTTACAATGATTAATTATCAAAAGTGAATGGCAAAGGATTATAATTTCTCTCAGTAGAATACAAATTGATAGAGTCCTGGTCAGGACCAGAACACTTGACCAAATGGTCCAAATTTTTTAAAAAGCCCAGAAGCAGAGATTTTCCAAGAAATAATGCATTTTCACTACAGATTCAACACAGCCCTACCCTAACACCAGAATCCATGACCACGGGTCATGAAATTCACATTTGGAAGAGGTACCTTCATCATCATAACTATGCACTTAGTTGAAGATTTTCAAAGATTTAACTCATTTTCACTATATTATTAATAAAGCCCCCCCCCCCCCAACACTAGAACCCCTGACCCTGGTACCACACACTTTAAAAGAAATTGTAAGAAGCACCCTTGTTCATCATAGCTATGCACTTTGTTTATCTGCTAAACACTTAAAGAGCAGGCAGAATTATTAGATAGAATTAAATGTATTTTCACTACTTTATTGATAGAGCCCTCTCCTTACACCAGAAATCTGACCCAGGGACCATGACACTAACAATTCTGGAAGAAGCACTCTTGCTGATCATTACTATGCATTTAGTTTCTTTGCTTTATTACCTGGAGCAGAAAAGAATGTTTTCAAAGAAATTATGCTTCTTCGCTATATAAAGCAATAGAGCCCCTCCCTTTCACCAGAACCGCTGACCCTGGGACCATGAATTTCACAATTTTGGAAGAGACATCCTTGCTTATCATAACCTTGTACTTAGTTTGTTTAAATAATACTTAGTACCCAGGAGAAGAGAAGAAGATTTTCAAAGAAATAATCCACTTTAACTGTATGACCTATTTTGGTAGAGGGCTCAATGCTTATTACGATCATGCCAACAGTGTGACTGCTTGATGTCCAGGAGAAAAGAAGGATATTTTTAAAGATTGCATTAATTTGGGTGGTTTTAGCCCAACCCCTCAGGACCCGGGGGGGGGGGGGGGGCAGGGACCATGAAATCCATAATTTCTGTTCCCCTTCACCAATAGATGCTATATGCCAAATTGGTTGAAATTGGTTCAACGGTTCCAGAGAAGAAGTTGAAAATGTTAAATGTCAACGGACGACGACAGACAAAAACGGATAGCAATAGGTCACCTGAGTGTCTCGTGACATAGGTCACTTGAGTGACTCAGGTGACCTAAAAAGAGGATTTTTGGGGGAATAAAACCTAAACGATAAAAATCCTGAGTAACAGATTTTTTCTTAATGACTCACACGCTAACCACTACACCACATACACATGTAGCTCATAACAGATAGTGGCAGTTATAAGACCCTTGGATAACTAACGTTAGACTTCAAATCTTTCTCGGAAGGATACGAATTTGGTCACAAAGGTGTACTTTTAGGGTAGAGTGGGTCCCTCCTCCATATCATGTTTTTGATAAGCAAAAATTGTATATTTAAAAACATATTTTGAAGATATACTTTCTAAAAAGTGGAGCGAAGGTCTTCTTATATGGAAAAATTGTGATTAGTTGGAGAAATGATCATTTTTTGCTCTCTTTGATGTGGGCATGCTATTTCATAGAGGAATAATTTCAAAACCTGTGAGATTGTTGCAGAGTTTGGAGATTTTATATAAAGTACGTGTATACTTTAATGTTAATTGAAAAAAAATAAAGAAATGATCGTTGCCTTTCATCTTTGCGTTACTTATTCCTGAAAGCATACCTTTTCGTTTTTTCACTCTGAACTTCTTGTAAAGATGACACATCAAAAGCTTCGTAATTCCCTGTTTTGCATAAAACACATTAACTTTTAATATAATATATCAAATAATAGTACACTGAATAATGTGATGCCTACCGATTACAAACACTCACTTATACATACCATAGCTACTTTGGAATAATGACGTAAAGCTTGACTCAAGTTTGTTTTCTTTACCATGGGCCTGCTTAATGACAGAAAATGTTGGATGTAAATTGAGGAAACGATCTGGTTTTAATGTCAAATGAATGTTTTGCAAGAACTGTCCTTGGCTTATAAAATATTTTTTAAACAAGATGTGTTTGTGAAACACTGATGCCCCCGTATGGCAACTTATAGCAAATGTTAAACTTTCTCAAGTGCAAATCAAATATGTTGGTACCCAAAGTAAGGTCTTGTCTCGAGGAATATACTTGTGAAATATGAAAACCCTAGCAGCAACCATTGAATAGATATGGAAAAGGTTAACGTTTTTCAAAAGTAAGTCAAACATCAAGAGTAAAAAATTAATAGTGCCCAAGGAAAGGCCTTCTCACAAGAAATACACATGTGAAATATGAAAGCCCTAGCACCAACCATTCAAAAGTTATGGCCAAGGTTAAAGTCTTTCAAAAGTAGGTCAAATTCCAAGGACAAAGGGTCCAAGTTGTTGGTATCCAAAGGAAGGTCACAAGGATACATATGAGAAGTATGAAAGCCCTAGCACCAATTATTCAAAAGTAATGGCCAAGGTTAAAGTTTTGCAAAAGTAGGTCAAACTCCAAAGTCAAAGTGTCAAAGTTTTTGGTATCCAAAGGAAGGTCTTGTCACAAGGATTACATATGTGAAGAATGAAAGCCCTTGCTCTTACCGTTCAAAGGTTATGGCCAAAATTAGTTTTGCAAAAGTAGGTCAAACTCCAAGGTCAAGGTCAAAGGGTCAAAGTTGTTGGTATCCGGCTTTCATATTTAACCTGTGTATTTCTTGGGAGAAGGCCTTTCCTTGGGCACCATTATTTTGACCATTTGACCTTGACCTTGATGTTTGACATACTTTTGACAAAAACTTTCACCTTTTCCATATCTATTCAATGGTTGCTCCTAGGGCTTTCATATTTCACAGGTTTATTCCTCGAGACAAGACCTTACTTTGGGTACCAAGATATTTAATTTGCATTTGAAAAAGTTTAACCTTTGCTATAAGTTGCCATACGGGGGCATCAGTGTTTCACAAACACATCTTGTTTGAGTAATAGTATTTTATAGTCTTTTGTTGCTATACTAAATTTTCGTTTAGATGCCCCCCCCCCCCACTTTTTTAATTGCCAGATTATTTTGGAAAGTCCCTACCAACTTTTTGGACAGTTTAGGTTTTTATTCAATGATTTATTATTTTGCTTGTCATTTTTTTTTTTTTTTTGGGGGGGGGGGGGGCGTTTTTGAAACCGCTGCTTGTTGTTGCCTGAAAAATACCTTTTGCCTTGAGCTGTTTTCCTTATGTTGAATTATAACTATAGGATTTTTTAAATTTCCCTTACGATTACTTATCTTGATTAAATATTTTTGGTCATATAGTTGACCCTTTAGTCATAGTCTACACATGCTCCATTGTAAGTATACGCATCTATTATGATATTTTTTTTCCGTTTCACTCTATCAAAGATTACGCAGGATGATTACATTGGCTGAAGGATGTGAGCTACATGTAGTTAAGTACAATTTTTAGAATTTCTTGAAATATAGTGGAGTTTTCATGATTCGCTTAATTAAGCTCAGCTTATGAAGCAGGGGACAGACAATTTAAAATCACCGAAAGGGTTTTCATTGTTCATCCTTATTATGTAACCTGACATTTCTTTGTTTTTTTGTCCCCCGCTTTTGCGAAAGCGAGGGGACATTAAATTTCATTCGTCTGTTTGTTAGTCTCACCGTCTATCAGTCCGTTCGTCCGTCTGTCAGTCTGTCTGTCACAAACATTTTAACCTCGGTCATAACTTTTCGATGAGAAGAGATAGGGCTTTCATATTTCACCTGTACATTACCTGTGACAAGACCTTTCCAAATATACTATTAATTTTGACCCCGTGACCTTGACCTTGAAGTTTGACCTACTTTTCAAAAATTTTTACATTACTTTAAATTGGTCATAAAATTTGATTGAGAACAGGTAAGGCTTTCATATTAAATATGTACATTACCTGTGACAAGACCTTTCCAAATATAGTACCGTTTTTGAACCCATTAACTTTACCCTACAAGTTTGACTTACTTTTTTAAATTTTTATCTTTGCTTATATCTTTTGATTGAGAATAGATAGGGCTTTCATAATTGACATGTGCATTACCAGTGAAAAGGTGTTTCCGAGCATGCTATGATTTTTGACCGCTTGACCCTGACCTTCATGTTTGACCTAATTTTCAAAAATTTTAAGTTTGGTGATTACTTTTAAATTACATATGATAGGGCGTTCATATTTGACAAGTGCATTTCCAGTGAAAAGGTGTTTTCGAGCATGTTATGATTTTTTACCCCTTGAACCCACGGGCACTTGTTTCGTATACGGGGTACCCCTACTTATTTTATTTGACAAGAAAAAAGTCTCTCGAAGCGAACGATATAATTTTAAAGTAGGTTAATGACTGATATATAAACAAAATATGAGCTTGAAGCGAGGGTGCCTGAAATCGAGTTAGATACCTTGTGGTAAAAATAAGTAGGGGTACCCCGTATACGTGCTTGAACCTGACCTTCAAGTTTGACTTGATTTTTCAAACATTTCATCAGTGTTGCTTACTTTTGGAGGAGCGAAGATAGCGGATTCATATTTGACACGTGCATTACCTGTGACAAGCATTTCCAATTGTACTATGATTTTTAATCCCATGACCTTGACCTTGAAGTTTGACCTAATTTTCAAAAATTTTAACATTGCTAATAATTTTTGATTGAGAGAGGCTATGGCATTTACATTTGACATGTGTATTACCTGTTTCAAGAACTATACTCTGGTTTTTGATATTTTTTTCACATGCATATGTGCATTACTTGTGACTAGACCTTTCGGATTTTATTATATTTGACCTCATGACCTTGATCTTGAAGTTTGATTTAGTTTTGAGAAGCTATAATCTTTGCCATTACTTTTTTGCACAGACAAGGAGGACACAAGACAGTTACAATATGCCATTAATAATGGCATCCCATCCACTAAGAGACCGAAAGCGGGGGACAACAATTCTTTGATTTTGCTTGTGGCTTCAAACTCTGTAAAATATTCAAGTGTAATTTAAGTCACTTAACATTATGTTTTCAATGCATGTATACTTGATTAATTTTTATCTGGTGTAGGGATGGGGCATGGATTTCCTAATTTAAGGGTTCAGTGCAATTTGTAGCGAAGTGATTTGTTCTTATCTTCACAAAACTATGTCATTATGTGAATAATGTGCATGTTCTTAATTTACAGGGAATTGTGTATGCAATGCACATGCATGCCTTTAAAAAAAAAAAACTATAGAAATGAATTGTACGATTCGGTCTCGGTCTGTTAGTAGATCTCTTTTAAATTCTTATCACAAGTCTACATCAACTTTTCAGTCCATAAATAAATAAACGTTGATAAAATTTTACAATGATTTCAATTATCAACCTTTATTTCAGTTAATACTCACATTAATGTACTTCAACCAATCGGAAATTAAGCTTTCAAATAAAATCTATAACACATCATGCAGTTTTTATATCTGTACTATTTCATTTTTAAAGTTTTTTTTTTTAATTGTCTTACCTTCAGATTGGAAAAGTGTGCTATAAAGATTAAAACCAATATAAAGGTAGACGTCATTTTAACTATAAGCTACCAAAAAAGTTTTGGTATCCTTAAGGTCAGCCTGCACAGTAGTGAGCCATGCACTGCTAATCTTATCTAAGTCACTATGTCAATATATAATGATTGCCCCCCTCGCTTATCAATCTTTAAGTTTTGCAGATACTTTGATGAAACAGAAAAGTATATACAATAGAATTTGGCCCAGATTATTCACAAGCTCTTCCAGTGATATGAATGTTAAGCATTTTTTACATCGCAAATCAAAATCGTTCTACACAACTTCACTCATATTGAAACACAAAACGTCGACCAGTTTACAAGGATATGCAGATATACTCAACAGCCTAGTTCCGAAAAATACGTAGTGACTGTTCCTGCAATCTCTTGGCATAAGAAATCTAGAGTCATAACTGCCCAAATCCTGCTGGAATTTGCCAGTGCTCGATCGACCTTACAGCAACAAAAAGTAGGAAGGGGGGGGGGGGGGGGGGGCAACCAGCATCTAAAGGCAAATCTACTATAGCAAAATACTATACCCAGAAAATCCCCCCCCCCCCCGCGTTCTACGGGCCTGCATTTGCTAAATTATGATTAGTGTTTATTACAAACTTTCGTATAAAGAGTGGTGACTTCAATCATGCATCTACTGCCTCCTTCAGTTTTGTCCTCACGTACCCGGCATGCACAGCGGACCGATTTATTCTGGGAACAAATTATGAAGCAGTATATGTTGCAGCAAGTATACTTTAACTCGTGCTTCCTATTCTATAGAAAATCTCCTGAATTTTTTCACCATCATTATCTGTTCAATATAACAAACTGGATAGGAATTTCGCTGCACAAACACTGTTGTTCAATATTGATACGTACCCTGGCCTCCAAAAACCAAAAGTCACACTAGATCACTTTTATTATTGTTTTGATAATACTACATGTAGTTCTTAATTTTCTTCTCTTCGATTTAAGTCCAGAAGCAGGTGGAAAAAACTCACCACAAAAAAATATGTGTACACTGTATATGTTTTCTATATATATAGCCAAAAGAACTATTATATATCTAAAATATTATTATTATCAGTTTAAAATGATTTTTTAACCTGTTTTTATATGGCTTTTCATATCTTGAACATTAGTGATTACCAACCGAATATTTATATCAAATTTCACAATTTCATTAAATTTCTTTTGAAAATATGATTGTCTGTGTGTAAAAATATTTTTTTCTTGGAGTTTCAATGATACATTTAACAAAATGTCAACAAAACAAAATTAATCAAAAAACTAAAAATGATTATACCTGTCGGCTTTTCTTAACTGCATTTTAAAGCTCCATTGAAATTACTTATTTGCGACTAGAAGTTTTTCCATTTTCCAAGAAAAGTACCAAACAAATCATGTGAATTAAATAAGAGATTAAATGATAAAATAATATGTCAAAAAGATACCTTATTAGTTATACATGAACTGAATAAACTTGCTATGGGTAAGATTCCCGGATAAAATGTGCCAACGAGAGCGGTCTTCTTTTAGTGTTCATACGAAAACATCCTGCTTGACTCACGTGATTGTTCTTCCTCCGACAACTTGAGTCTTCACAAGGAGTTTACTCATGATGTTTAGCGTTATGCTCCGCAATCGTTGAAAGAAAGTATTCCATATTTAGCAAGTAAGTTAATTAAACAATATTTTTAACCTGTAAAAAAGTTTTATCTTTCTTACAAACATGTTTTGAAGCAGGTACAGTTTTACCAGGAACCTATATACTAACTAAGTAACTTAGTATATAGGTCCCTAGTTTTACAAAAGAACTTAAGACGATCCTAAAATCTTGCAAAAATAATGTTTCTGTTAAAAAATTGCTTACATAAAAATATCGATCTAAATTCTTTTTTAAAAGATTACAACCATTTTTAAATATATGTAAAAAAAAAAAAAAAAGTTATTTGCAAAATTACATTTTTGTTTTAGTCGTAAGGTTTTGTGTAAAACGAACCCTGGTTTATAAACATTTTTCTTTTTCATTTTTTTAAAAATTAAATATGTTTTCTAGCACATAAGTTTAAGCTTTTCATTCAAATCTATATTTTTCCCCAATTTACTATGACACTTCTGAGTTCAAAATTTGTTGTTTCCATGGTTTTATAGGCACAAGCTTGTCTTCACCATGACGTTCCTAGTCATCCTTCCTGTTTTGTCAGTCTGTGTTATAGGGACAGCATCAGAGACCTACATATTAGATGACAGCGCAGGGTTCGGAAGGTGGTTTGATGGAGTTGGTGGCCTAAGTGGAGGAGGAGTATATATAATTCTATTTGCTATCATTACAAATACATATACATGTAGAGTATTTATTGGAAAACTGGAATTTATCCATTGAATAAAAGTGATATTTATAAAAGTGATGCATCACCGCAAAAAATATCAAAAATGCGGCAAAGCTCTCCCTTTTCATTCCCTTCATGAAGAACCATCCTGACCAAATTAAATCTGTTAAGTTTTTCCAAATTGTACATTGTTAATATACATGTTTACAATTTTCAGTCTCACAATGGCTTAGGTTTGACGTCAAAGACCCCCCCCCCCCCCCCAAAAAAAAAAAAAAAAAAATCAAAGAAAATGTAATAAACAGAAAGTTCTATTTTAATAGTTGGATATGGAATTTATTTCATGAGTGGGACAGGGTTTTTTGATAATTTCACTTTTATTTAGCACACGTGATAATATAAAAAAAATCCTGCCCCACTCATGAAATAAATTCCATATATCTGCGGTCCTATATCTACAGGGCTAGAAATAATTATTTTTGTTTACTGGTCACTCAGGCTATTGCCTTAAATTTTTACTGGTCAGCATAGTAATTTCACTGTCCCACTGGGCCAGTACTGGACCAAAACCATATTAATAATAGTAATATTTTTTTATATTGTGATACTTAGAAGTACAATTTAACAAAACAAGAAACAGCAAAAATTTTGGACACACAGCCCTGTCAAGTTAACTAGCCCAACTGTGAATGAATTTTATTATGCATAAAAAAATGCTGACCCAAAAGGCACATGCCTTCTGCAATGTACTAGCCCAGATTGAAAATTCACTGGTCCCAGACCAGAGGGCCATCAATTATTTCGAGCCCTGATCTAACTACAAAACATTAAATATCCTCTATATACATGTATAACTCTATACAATATCAATATAAATATGTAGAATATGTATATAAATCTATACAATATCATTACTAGTACATGTACATATATATACTTCATATAGAGTATATTTAATTCTATACAATATCATTTCTGGTTTAATTATATAGAGTACCGGTATACAGTCAAAATTCCTTTTGTCAAACTCTATGGGACTGAGACTAAACTTTGAGATATCCAAGGATTTGAGATAACAAGGTTAAAAAACACAAAGAAAAATTAGTTGGGACTGCCAAATGACTTCGACATATCCTTGGTATTAGAGATATTGGTGTTCGAGATGATGAAGTTCAATTGTATAATTATGATTCTAGACAGTATCATTAAGGCATTATTTATGCTCTTTCACCATTTGTGATAAAATGGAAATCTACAGAAAAAATATAATGTTAAATTTCTTGAAAATGTAAATCAATATTTGTAGTTCTTTGCCTTTATCATTATCAACTTTTATATGTACATCTATATAACATAGGCAAATGTTAACTTATAAATTCCTGTCTCAGTGTCTAGTGTTGAATCAAATATTAAGCTATTTCAATTTAGTTAGATTTGAAAACTTCTTGTATTTGCCATGAGTACATTGATGCTTTGATTGCATGTGTATTTAAGTGGTATCTTAAGTACACTGAAGTTTGCATAACATGAAATGATAGCAAGGACCATAGTTCATTGCCATGTATCTAACTCTTGACTTGAGAGGACAAGATATACCATTAAAAGTAAATATACACTGTAAACTGCCTTTAGGATATCTTAATATACATGTAGGGTATCTATACTGTATACATATTATATCTTTGTCACAGATTTATAAATACATGTACAAATATTTAACCACACACTTAATTTTAGGTCACCCAAGGCATTTAGGTGATTTTCTGCTACATGTATGTATGTGTCATATGAAATCCATTATACGTGAATTTTTTGACATTTCCAACTTCTTTACTAAAGCAACTGAATGAGCTGTAACCATTTGTGCTAAATACATGTAGCATCTATGTGCAAATTAAGGGAAACAAAAATTTGGATTTCATGGACCCCATTCCACTGCAACTTAAGGAATGGGACTAAAACCTCCAAAAGAAATTTTTCATCTTTAAAATTCTTCATCTTAACTCCTGGATTCCAAGCAGATAAATATTTTTCATAATGGTTAAAAATTCATGTATTCAGTTTATGAAGATCATGACAGAGGGTCAAATGATTATTGATCATATGATTAAAATTTTAAAATTATGAAATATTAAAAAAAATATTATGGTTCATCATCCCTTTCTTCACTGATATAAAATTATACTTTAATTTATATAATGATTTTCTAAAAGAAATTAAAATTATAACTAAAAATTAATGTTTATAATATCAGGACACACTTTGATGAAATTCACTTCTTGACAATTTTTAAGGGAATAATAGTCATTGATACCAGTTGGAGTTATCTCTCTTTTCAGAGGTCAGTGAACCTTAAATGTTACTGAGTTGTTTGGATGAAAAGAATAATAATATGAAACGAATTGAATTCATATTCAGTACTATATATTTCAAAACTATGTAATTACTGAACAATACCCTCCTCCCATTAAGTAAGAAGAGTCTAAACAAAGGATGTCAATCAATTATTCAAAATTGTTACTTATAGATAAAAAAGTTACACTGGGAATGTAGAATTTATTCTAAATGATTCTGATTTCCACGAAAAACACAGATGTTAAATTTATTTTTTGGAAGAAGAAAAATTCATCAATATAAAAAATGCTTTAAAAAAAAAGTTTTGTCTTTAAAATAAAATCCAGTAGCTTTTAGGAGAGCTTTGTTTCTGTGTGTGAGTGTGTGGAAAGGGGGGGGGGGGGGGGCTTGAGCCATTGTGGGCCAGAGGCAGCTCCCAGAACCCTTGCTGCTATATTTACATACATATAATTTTTCCACAGCTAATATATGTATGCTCCTGATTAAATTATGTCAACTTTTATCATTGTACATTGCAGGCTACATCAAGGCTTCTTGTCAATTATCCTCAGAAACAGAGGGATGAAATATTGGATTACCTTTTCAAAGTAAGTTTTATTAACTAATTTTAGCTTATGTTCAATTAACAAAAGTTTTTTGGTAATAAGGAATATTTTATGCCTTGCATCACTGGTTATAATCATAGGGATACAGCTCAAAGCATTACAGATTTGCTACATAAAAGTGTGTACTAAAATAAAACACTGACCATTATTTGTTAACGTTTTGTTTCTGCCTTCATTTTAGCCTAATTTTGCTGCATCACTTCATATACTGAAGGTGGAAATAGGAGGAGATGCCCAGAGCACAGGTTTGAATTTTTAAATGTAATTTGTGTAATTCTGGTATACAATTACTATTTCTTTTTAGTCCATCATTGAGTGAAAAACTTTGAATCATTGAGCTTTGGAACTCAGGTTTATGTAAATGAAAGGCCATCCATTTTCCAATAGGAGTTAATTCAGAAATAGGAAAATGAGGATTTGGTCTTAAGAGTCTTCTTCTTATGAACCACAACACACTTATAATGAACTGCCAAGGATTAACAATTTGTTGTAACTAGTTTGTTATAACTAACAATATGTTTTAAAAAACAAAAGTGAATGAAAATTACTTCACCCTCAGCAACTCGGCATGAATTCATTAAAAGCTTCTTTGCTGTAACCATATTTTACTGTACTTATTTGAAAGACTTTTTATACAGTGGAGAATCAAATTAACATTGCTTGGCCCCAAGATCCTGGATAAAGCCACAAGAAAGGTCCAGATTTTACAAATCGTGAATCTATTTGCAAATATTCTCATTTCATAGCATAGAAAGGTGGCTCAAATCCTGTCTCCCCCTATCCAGATTGGGGCCACAATAAGGGGTCAAAGTTTGATATGGGAATGCTTAGAGACTTGCTCAGATATCCATTGAATATGTTAAATATTTGTTTGTTAAAATACTTGAGTCTGGCAGTCTTCTCTTTCTATTTCATGTTTTATTTGATAATAATTTTAATTAAAAAAAAAGAAAGCTGAAATTTAGACAGAGATATAAAGATTCTTAAGGCAATCAGAATAATTGGCTTATACAAATGTACTGGTTATTGAAATTACATATGGAGTTCAGAGATACCAGTTTTCAATTTATTTTACAAATAATGTGTATTTGACTAAAGAATGTTATATAATTTCAGATGGAACAGAATCGTCTCATATGCACCATCAAAGTGACTTGAATTTTAATAGGGGCTATGAATGGTGGCTTTTAAAGGAAGCTAAAAAGGTACATGTAGTTTAGAAAAAGTTGTAAAAAAAAATCTTGTAGTTTCCAGAAAAAATTGTTCATGTACTGTAAATCACTTTTTATTCGTGTGAACTTTATTTTTGCCTAATTACGTGAGACAGTATGCTCATGAAAATTTCATTCTCACATATATTAATATTCCTAAAAATTATATAGAGCAATATCCGCAATTTTGATAAGGAGTAAATGACAATCTTGCAAAAATAAGTTGTCGCGAAAATTAAGTGATCTACAGTATTAAATGTAATTCTCTGCTTCTGCACAGTCTCTGCCATGCTCTGACAATTTAATTATGGAATCAGTTAATTTTGAAATCATCATTAGTTGCATCTTTTACTGGTAAATGTCACTGTTTATAGGTCACATGAGTCATACTATGCTTTTTGTCTGTTGTACGTGGGTCATCAAACTTTTATAACATTAATTATTAGCTTCTTCTCTGAAGTGGTTAACATTTATGGCCAGTTTTGGTAGGTGTATTTGGAATAAAACTTGTAAATTTTAAAATAGTCCTCATCCCTGGTAGGGTGGAGCCAAATTCTTCAAAGTTAATGAAGTTTTCAAAAATGTTCTTCCTTAACCCATAACGGCTATTTAGAGACAAACTGCACACATGGTGAAAGCAAGCAATGATTTTGCTACCTAAATTCTGGAATTTATGTCCTATTGACCAAGGTCCCAGAACTTATTTGAAACTGCATTTTATTTTGATTTTGTTTCCCTCTACTGCCAGACCTCTTTTACAAACATACACACACAATCAAATTCATGGTAAGTGATACAGAATTTGCCATGATATAATCTCTATAAATCATTACATTAACCCTTTAGAACAAGAAAAATTACCCCCCCCCCTTCCAATATCATTTAAGAAAAAAAAACTTAAAGAATTTTTACTATAATGGAACCTTATTTTCCAGAGGAATCCAGACATTCTTCTCTATGGACTGCCTTGGGCATTCCCGGGATGGATTGGGAATGGAACAAGAGATCCGTATCACAACCCCTCCCTGACAGCGGACTATATCGTCAAGTGGATCTCGGGGGCTAAGGAAGTCCATAATCTAACTATAGACTTCATAGGGGTGGGTGCTATCAACTGTGTAATTATATATGTCACAGGGTCAGGGTCTTGTTTTATCCAGTGAAAACAAAACTGGTTCGGTCTTCAATTATTTAATTATGGATACAGAAAAAAAACCTAGAAAATAGAAAAACACACTCACAACACTCATACAAAACAAAAGACAAAGACAAACACGAAACATAAAGACATTTAAACGTTAACGAAAAGTAAGGGTAATTAAGATATTAATACGACTGCCAGAAGATCGTTACATATATTTAACAAGTAAATGAATTACAAGATTAATGAACATCTTACCAGGCATCCAGTATTAAAATCAGGAATAGATAATATACATCGATTGAATCGATCTAAGGTATAACCAATACATTATCTGTTACCGTAAAGGCACAAAAGCTTGGGGTGGGGAATTTGGCGGGTTTCCTACTTTATATAGTGCACGAGTTAGTAAAAACATGCATATAAATTAGTATAGTGAAATCCATTGGTCCATGGTAGGTCACTGGTCAGTCATACGTATAGAAATGCTAAAAATAGAAATTCACCTGTACAAAACAAAACACTCGCACATGGCTCTCACATACCTGCAAAACCGGTTGTATTCGATTGGCTATGCGCGCCAATCGGAATACGATATTAAATATTTCGCAAAGCATATACTAGTATTTAATAATAATAATAATAATAATAATAATTTAATTACAATTGTGACATATACATAATACTATTTAAGAAATTTAGATGTCCTTATTGGAACTGATAAATGGAAAAAATAAAATAATGATTTTTTTCGACCTGTGCTATATGTACATGTACATACAGTATACTGTAAACCAACTTTTATTCGCGTGCGAGAAATATTCGCGAGTTTTGTGGCGAACAATATGGTTTGCTTTGTATCTGTAAAGAATACTTCCTTAGTCATGAAAACTAATCGTTGCGGATTGATTTCAAACTGACGAATCGCGAATAAAAGATGACACGAATAATAGTTGGTTTACAGTATCACATGTATGTTGGTCGGGATTTGAATCTGAGTTAAACCTTTATAAAAATTCATTACATTATGTGTTAATTTTCTATACCATGCACACACACAGTTTTTAAAGTTTTATGTAGCTCATTTAAATTTATAAATTTTCTCGAACCAAAGTGGTAAAATGCAACAAAAGATTGACAACTCTAACATCTCTATGATCTTTTTGGGCAGAAGCTGTGAAATGTAATATGTTTTATTTCACATTTTTCCCATAACAGTGATTTGTACTTGTATATCATTTTCAAGAATTTGTCAGGATTAACATCTGTTCATTAAATTTGATATATTTTTCTTTCTTTACATGGATTAGATTTGGAATGAGAAACCATATGATGTTACATATATAAAGGTATTTATAGATTTTATAGTAATATTTAGAAATTTTATTAAGTTATAAAGGTTTTGTTTCATTAAGTTACAATAGTTAAGAAGTAGAAATATCTGCCTCACGATTAACATAAAATCCAAGGTCATCAATTAAATCTACATTTATTAAAAAGTATGATAGAGCCCAAACCATGCTTAGAAATCTTATTTTACTGTAATTATTTTTTCATGGCTAGGGTGTTTTTAAACATTTTATTACAGTTTAATTCCTTTAACATAGATAACATATAGAAAAGAGAAATTTCTCTCTTAGCAAGTGCCTTCAGGAAATTATTTAAAATATGAAACCAATTGGATCTTACCAATGCTCTTTATTTTGCAGACTCTTAGAAAGACCCTTGATACTCGTGGATTTGTCCAGACTAAGATTGTGGCCTCAGATAGTGGCTGGGGGATAATTAATGATATGAACAAAGACCAGGACCTGGCTAAAATTGTGGACTATGTAGGGTAAATTATCTACATTCCTTGTAACAATATTTTTTAGAAGTGATATTTGGGTATGGGAGCTGGAAATCTAGAAATATTAAGCTATATTTTATTTGAGATGAACTGCACCAGCAGTCCCAGTCTTAGAAGAAAAGCATGTAAGTTTTTATCCACATAGATTTTGTGGATGAAGAATTGTTGAGTAATTATGTATGTGTCATTTTGCATTTTATGGTGGACATGAAATCGTAGGTCTGTTTAGACCTTGAAAACAATGAAAATTAAATCCCCATGAAAATAAATGATTTCACAGTATACTCATGTATGTAAATATGTTGAAGCTTTGTAACAGATGCCCAGGAAATCAACATAAATGAAACTCGCAAATTATCTTATTCTGCAGTTGTCCTTTATATACACCTGTAAGGGCAAAGTCAGTATAGATGTACATGTATGACTAACTTTATTTAAATTTACATGTATATGTAAAAAGCACAATTTTTGCAAGCAAGCGTCCATCAAGACATTTATAACTAACTTATTTTCTCATCATAACAGTTTATAAGTTTAAGGAGAAATCATAAGGTGCATAAAAAAGACAATCACTTACTGTTTTTGAGTAAAAAGTATCAAATTGTAGTATCGTAATTGTTTTTAATAAAGGATATAAGTGTAATAATTGATTTAATTTTAGGGTACATTATCCTGGAACTCTGTCTCCAGAATTTGCTAAGAAACAAGGGACACAACTCTGGTCATCAGAAGACTATTCCACATTCAATGACAATGTAGGGGGAGGCTGCTGGGCCAGGGTAGGTCAGGGAAACATTTGCCACAGAAGCAATGCTTTCCTTATCTTCCAAAGCTGAAGAGCTACATAGCATGTTCTTATAGTCACATAGGAAATAATATCACCAAACCAATGAATTTCAACCTGTTTTAATACAAAATTATTTGTATCAATAACATGTACAATGTATGTGATTGTATTATGGTAAATTTAAATGTTGTAAATATTTTTCTTTCAGATTGTAAACCAAAATTATGTCAATGGACTTATGACAAGGTAATTTTTTAAATCAATGGCTAGAAATGGGCTGTAGTACTGGAATTCTTATGAACATTTGTAAAGAAACTGAATTTAATGCTCACCTCAATAAGGTTAAAAAGAGATTATGCTATTATATCTCTTGGCACCATCCATCTGTATGTCTGTTCGCACAATAATAGTCATGAAAAAAGAATGACTTTAAAAATTTATATTACTGGGTAATTATTTACCTCACCATTTGGTTTTGTCTATCATTATGCCGAAATTTAATTTATCTCTGAAAATGCTGATTGCCCACTCTGAACCACTGTAAAAAAAAAATTATGTTGGAGAACCCTGGTTTGAGGAGGCACTGGAAATTCAGAGAATGCAATCAGAGTGGAGTATAATAAAATGATTATTTTGTGTGCATTACATATAATGATATACTGTTGTCCTAGCACCATTTCCTGGAACCTGATTGCCAGTTATTACGAAGCTTTACCATTCCCCCGTAATGGTTTGATGACAGCTGAGACACCCTGGAGTGGACATTATGTTGTAGAAAGTCCTATCTGGGTCACAGGTAAGGTTTATACCTTATACATGTATTTAGGTATGATACTATGTTGCAGGTAAAGTGTCTTTCATCCATCTGTTTGTCTATCTGTCTGTCTGTGAACAGTTTTATAATGCTACTGGTCCTAGTACAGTTTTTTATTCTGATTTGAATAAAACATACAACAGTAGAATACAACATAAATATACAATTTCTGTGCATCAATTTTTTCTCCCAGATCAATTTTATGTTCAGACCTGTAGAGCTACAGTCTCCTCAGAAAGGTCTTGTTGTTTCAGCCCATACAACACAGTTTACACGACCTGGCTGGAAGTACCTCCCCCATGATAAGGGGGTCAGTAGATTACAAGGCGGGGGGAGTATGGTGTCTTTAGTCAGCCCTGACAACAAGGATCTCACCATTGTTATAGAAACCATGGTAAGAGAGAAAATATGCTTTAGCTATAGTGAGTTGGTTATCTACATGTATTGCTACTTTAAATCACTTTTCATTCATGAGAACTTTATTTTTCGGAGAACTTTATTTTTACATACAGAGATTTTAAAAAAAAAATTAATCATGTATACAGCAAAATGAAAATAAGGTAATGAAATGACTTCTTTTATGAGTTTTCATTATGGAAATAGCCTTGCAGGATATTAAAAAAAAATGACTCTCTGTCTCTATGTATGAATAAGAAACCATACATTTCTCTTTCAGAGCCATGATCATTCTGTCTGCATTAGACCCCCACTTCCTCCCTACTCTGTCAAACCCCAGAATGTTACATTACAACTCAAAGGAACTTTTGTAAGCTATATTGTTTTTAGTTTTTAAAATACAATGTATGTTCACATTTATCAAAGAAAGAATGCTTTTGTTTTAAAATATAGTGTTTCACTATTGTACTGAATTTTCTACAGGCAAATATATCATCTCTTTATTTATGGAAGAGCAGTTTTCAGTTTGGAAAAAAATCCTCAAAATCTGATTTCTTCAGATCATCAGGTCAAATCAAGGTAAGACACTGCTATAAATGTTACACTGTGGCTTAGGAGGGTAGAATGCCAAATAATTTTAGCTCACCTGAGCCAAGGCTCAAGTAACTAAGCTTTTCTAATGAAAGAGTACATGACATCCATTTGTTAATATGTTTGTAAACTTGAGACATTTTCTACATCTCCTTCATATCAAGAGGATCACATTTCAACCAAACCTGGCATAAAATATTCTTGGGTCCCAGTTTGCTCAAATGAAATGCTATGAACGTAGGGTGATAAGAAATAATGTGTAGCTATGATTGTCATTCAAATTTTTTTCCACAAAGAATGAGTGCACTTATAGGCCCCAGTAAAATGTAAAATAAAAAAAAACGAAGAATCAAATTAAGCATAATTTTTCATCTCAGATCATTAATTGATATCTAAACCATAAGATTCAACAAATTTTATTGCCGAAATTCATGAATATACAAAGAGCAAAGCCATACAATGTAGTAGGGGTCAGCCGACATTTGTGATTTTCTATAGTAAATCGAGGACGGTCATTCATTTCAAAGCTTTTGTTTACTGTCAGCCTAACATTGTACAAACTTGTGCGAATGACAAAAAGCGCATTATACATTTATAAAACTTGTGTGAAAGTAGGAAATTTGTACAAGATTAGGCTTGTACTTAAAACATGAAAAATGTATGAAAAGTTCAATGTTTTTCCTATAGCAAGCAAGAGCTATTTACCTGTATGACCTATGTTGAACCCACCCGTGGAATAAATTATTTAAAATACCGGTAGCCACGTGAGTTCTACCCAGGTAAACATTCCTCAAAGGTTCTCACTGTAAAAGATAGCCTTGTTTTGTATCATTATATCGAAGTCGTAAGTTTGTATGTATTTGGTTTTAGGAACACGGGAGGGTTAGGAGAGTTTAGTGTCGTTAAAATGTCATCATACATAAAAGCGTCAAACATTTTTAACATTCATGCAAGACAATGGTACCGGTATTGGAAGCCACCTAAATACACTTTTTTTTTCATTTTAAAATTTAAAGAAACTAATGGTAATACTTATTGTATTATTTCAAATGCAAGCGTGCAAATTTCTTAGTTTGCTCACTATGGCTACAGGCATCTTCATTTTGTTCTCAGGTAAAATAGTGCAAGAAGTATCATTAGGCAAACGTGCCTGTCAATGATCCACTATCAGATTGTTCAAGTGTCCGATTTAAATGTCTTCTCCCATTGATTTAAATAAACAAAACTCAAAATAGGATCGGTACGACTTTTCCGGATTTGGGGTAGCTATAGGCTTAAAAATCTTCATTTGTTTCAAATCCATGCTGATTTAAGTGATGTTTTAACGTGATTTAATTACTAGAAATATCCACTTGTGTTTAACTATTACCAAAAAAGAACAATTTGGTAATATATTCTAAAGTAAAACGGCACTGAAAAAGGGCCCATTAAGCATTGCCTAAGTGCACTTGTCCTTTAAACTTATATGAATGCTGCCTTACTGAGTTATAGATTCAAGTTTGATTTATTCAAAGTCATGCTCATATTTCTGTTGTTACATTATATCAATTTTGCTGAACCATTTTATTCTTTTTTGAGGACTGTTTGCATGATACATGCATTGAAATTTGAACACATTCAGGTGATTGGTGGAATTCTAAGTATATCCCTCAATGTTGACGAGGTCATCACCATAACAACTGTGTCAACAGGACAGAAGGGACTGTATCCAAACTCTCCAGATGACAAACCCTTTCCTTTGCCCTATAGTGACAACTTTAATGGTACATGTGCTTCTATGTTTCATATTTTTATCTTAAATACAGTTGAACTTTTGTATCTTGAACATCGATATTTAAATACATATGTTAAGTGAGTTGGAAGTGGAAACCACTTTTTGAATTTTAAATAATTATTTTAACTTCAATATCTTAATCCCTAAGCCCCATCTAGTTTTAGATATGGATTGACTTTATGTTTTTCCAATAGTCATACTGATTTCCAAAAATTTATAGGCATAAAGTTTCTCATAAGAATTTTTTTTGATAAAGAAAAGAATATTATGTTATGAGAAAATTCATGTATATTGATTAACGTGGATTTTATTATACAAAGGAAGATATTTCTTAATTATCATGCATAGGATATGCCTATTTTTCTGAGCCTAACAACTTTGCACAGCAGACTGGGGCATATGAAATAGTTAAATCCTCAGATTCTGCCAGAGAAAAAGTTGTTATGCAGACAGTGTTGGATTTACCTGTGTCTTGGTGTCAGGCAGAGAAAGCTAATAAGTCCATCAATATTATAGGAAACTATAGCTGGTAAATATCATGGTATCTTTGCAAGGAGAAGTTTAACAAATACGTCACTTTTGTAATTAATTCTCTGTTTTGTGAAGATAGATCTGTGCAGTTCATGATGGTCAAGTACATTTTTTTTAAATGTTGTACGTTAATTGCTTCAGCACAAGTGATTAAACTTATTATATATTTTCAGCTTTATAATTGATTTCATTGTATCATAGTGTAGCTGAAAAGTGCTCGGAACAAGCCATAGTATTAAGTGTATCCCATGCCATGTACATGTATCTCATTAGAATTTCAATTTATCACACATTCAAGGATCGCAGTTTCACTTTTCGGTGATTTGACACAGCTTTTCTGTGAAAAAATTCATGCTTTTCCGCGACAAGTTTTACTGTTTCTCTGTGATAACAATTTTAGCTTTTCCACAACTTTTTTTTCATATGTCTTCCATTAGCCAGGTAAAACCTGTTGCCCCCTGCTTACCAGGGGAAGGTTGTAATCCTGGCTTTGCAGATTTTATCAATGCTGCCTCGGTATGACACATCCCCATTCCTTAAAACCTTTTCTTTTTTGTATGTAAATCCATCGTAGATTATACATTTGTTCCCACAATTCAATTTCCATATTGTTTAAAACATCTAAACCTTTAACTGAAAAGTGTGAAATGCGAGATTCATTCAATTTATATTACCATGTGAGTAAGTACTCATTATCTAGTAGAAAGCCTTTTTGGGAAATACAGGTAAATATCAGTAGCCGTTTGATGTTATATAATGCTAAGCGTGACCATTTAAAAATTGGACGTATCAAAAACAAGAGGCCCATGGGCCACAACGCCTACCTGAGTTACTTCGGTCCTGCTGTTCTTCACCAGATCCCCCCATTAAATACTTATTGTGGCCCCACCCTACTCCTGGGGGCCATAATTTGAACAATTTAGAATCTACACTACCCCAGGATGCTTCCATAAAAGTTTCAGTTTTTCTGGCTTAGTGGTTCTTGAAAAGTAGACTTTTCAAGATTTTTCCTATATATTTCAATGTAAAACTTTGATTCCCTATTTTTCCCCCACCCTACCCCCAGGGGCCATGATTTGAAGAATTTAGAATCTACACTATCCTAGTATGCTTCCACATAAGTTGCAGCTTTTCTGGCCCAATGTTTTGAGAAGAAGATTTTTTAATGACCCCACCCTATTTTTGTCTTTTCTTGATTATTTCCCCTTTTAAGGGGGGGTGGCCCTTCATTTTAAAAATTTAAACTCCCCTTCACCCAAGGATGCTTAAAATTGGCCCAGTGGTTCTTGAGAAGAAGTTGAAAATATGAAAAGTTTACAGACAGACGGATGGACAAGGGACAACAATTGATCAAAAAAGCTCACTTGATTTTTGAGCTAAAAAGGAGATAACACATAGCATATATACCTGGTAGTAAAAACCAATTCTGCAAAAGCAGTATAGAGTAGTCGTGGAAAAGCAACAAGGTTTCGAAAATAAAATTGCAGAAAAGCAGGTCAGCCACAAGGCTATTTCCCACTTTGTAGAGTAATTTCTATTCAAGCAAATTGATCTATCTAACATCCCAAGCAGTTAGAGAATATACTCCTCTGAAGAACTACCATAAAATATATTTAATTAATCCTTATTAATTCTTGTCTTGCATACACACTGATAAATTCTACCTCTAATTATGGTCATGTAACAGAATATTTTAAAGTGTGTATTTCATAATCATATTGAATACACTGAATATCAATCAAGAGTAATGAAACAAAATATTGTCTAAAATATTCAATAAACAATATACCACCCTCAAGCTTAAGACTACAGTCAAAATATATGAACTTTACAATAATGTATTTGCAATTTGAAATAAAATCTAAAGTCTGTGACACTTGCCCTACTATGAGAGTTGGTGTTTGCTGAGACTTGATTGTAATGTGCTTACTGGCAGCTCCATGTTTGTGAGGATTGAATGTGTCAGGATATTTATTTTTCTTAAGTTTAGCTATTGCAAATACATCTTTATTCCTTCCTATGAGCTGAAACAGTTGTTTAATCTGTGTCAAATACAGGTTTGTTTCTTCAGTTTGAATCCTTATGTCCTTGGTAGTGTGCTGTGAAAGTGATGTATGGCAAGAAAAATGATGCAATTTATTTTCTATGTTAGAAATTTTTTCTTTATTGAAAACTCATGTTTTCTTGCTTGCACCCAAACAGATCTCCAGTTGTCACCTCACACTGGCTGTGTAATTCCTTTTTCTGCAGCAACATCCTTCTGTGTTAACAAATCTTCTTTATCAAGTAAACTCTATATTAAAATCTACAAAATATGGGCTCTAACTTCACGGTCAATTAAGAGGTTTCAAGCATAGACATTTGTTTCTGTATTAATAAAAGTGTACCCCCATATTATAATGATAACAACTCGAAATTAAATGAGTAGACCCTCCCCAGCATTACAGTCATTTTCACATATTTTGCTTTCAGAGAAGTGTTTATACTACCATTCTATCCTAAGTCTACAGCACAGTATTGTATACAACTCATGAACCAAATAAATGAACCACTCATTAGACCAGTTATTTATACGTCTGCAACACAGTATTGTTTGTTTGTATATAAACAGGGTATGCAGAAAATGTAGAGCCAACACTTTTTGCTCAGCAAGTGGGTGTGTTTGAAACCAGGAAATCGGATGATCCCAGTCATGGAATGGTGCTCACCCAGGTTGTCACCTTCCCACCTATCTATTGGTGTATATTTAATCTTGTGTTTCCCCTAGATCTTATTGGAAACAACACTTGGTAGGTAACTTCCTGTTGCTCTGGTTACATCTTATGCATCCACTTTCACATTCCATTCCTGACATTTTCATACTTGTAAATGTCACTTTTTTTGGTTACTGTATGTTTACATATCATTTTAACTAGTAAATGTTTCATGTATCATATGCACATACCAAACATTGCTTCCATGATTTTTGTAACATCCAAAATAAACAGGTTGGTCTCCCAGGGCTTTGCTTGTGTGTCTCATTCATGCATAATTCTCACAGTTAAACTTTACCTCATCCTTATTGAATATCATAGCCTGCTTCATGTGCTAAATGTTTCGCTCATCCTCAGTAGAAATTCCAAATGATTGAGTATTTTTGGAGAATGTAAGCATTAAGATTTATCGAAAACTTTCCAGTTTATATGTACCCATTTCATTCAGTTATTGCCAAAAAGATGTCAGATTTTCATTTGTTGCTTTATATTACGGATGAATTGTAATAAAAGCACAGATATAAAGAGATTAATTATGAGCTGTATTTGTTAAACTTCTTCAGACTTGCTTGAATATTTATTTGCTCTATATCTAATCCATTTCAATTTTATTTTTAAAGAATTGCATCATATTCTTCATTTATATTTTAAAAATTACAACTGATAAACAGCAGTATTTGATATTTACAAATTTCATTGTAAAAGGAATGACATGGCAGTGAGTGTTGAGACACAGATTCCAAAGGACAATGGGAGTTCAGGGTCGTTTGTTGCTGTAAGGGTGGATCAAGGGGGGTGTAATGCTTGGGAAGCCAAAGGAATATTCTTTTTCATCCTCCCCAGTGAACAGAAATATGTACTGGCTAATGATGTGTGTAAGTACAGCCAAAAAAGAGTCTATGCAAATAAAATTAAACTTATTTTAATAATAAGAAATTATATGCAACAATATCAGAAATTCTAGAAATTTTCATCTTGCTAATGTGTATAAATTTGGTGATCTACAGTGAGACAGTCAATGATGATCCACATATTTAATTCCATTAATTTGACACAAGTGTAACGTGGTGTATTTCAAGTCATAATGATAATATACAATATAAAACTTTGGTTTCTCGAGCACTGATGTCTGGAATACCATGGATGAGCGAATGATTAGGAATTCCCAACCACTAATATTCTTAGTATTTTACCCTCAATGTCTTGAATCCTTGGCTATCTCAAAGTTTTTTTCTCAGTTCCATTGAGTTGAAGATAATGAGATTTGACTATAATTTGATGATCCTATAATTAATTAAGAGTGAACGTGAATTTCTCTTTACAGCTCGTACTTCTGTCATACACGAGGGAATAGCCAACTTCTCTGTCAATGGTTGGAATACAATTAGTTTAATTGTCAAGGTAAGTATATCATATACATGTAACTGCAACACAAATATCTTAAACACTAAAGATGCATGTATGTATGGGTTCCTATGGAACAAAATTTAAACAGCTGTCTGGGTATAGGTGTAACAATGAAGCTCATTTTAGTTTAAGAATGATTAATATTAGTCCTGACACGTAAGTTTTGTAATGATATTAATTTATTTTACAGAATACAACAGCTGTTGGCAGTCTGAATGGAGTGAGTTTATTTAAAACCAATGTGCCTCCTAAACCAGCCAATGGCTTTGTAGCCATGGGAACAGATTCCTATGGCCTAGCAAATTTCGATAATTTTAAAATGATGAGCTCTAAGGACATTGATTTAAGTGGAATAAAGTTACCTGAAAAAGTTTATTCCAAAGACACAAAACTGTACTTCAAATCAAAACATGTGCACCATAGCTCAAGGAAATATACCATAGTTTGATATATAATTATATAATATTACATATATTAAAAATATATAAACTCCAAACAAACAAAACATAAAATCAAAACACATGCACCATTGCTCAAAGTTATATTAGATTACACATAAAATTGATATATTCCAAAAACACAAAACTTAAAACACATGCTTTTTAGCTCAAGGAATATACCATAGCACATAGTTATAGCACATTGCAAATAAAACTCATATTTCAAATGAGACAATGTGGTACATTGATTGAGTCAATTGCTACACTCATTTTCAAGATGATTTGATTTCACGTTCCAAATAGCATAACATGCATTTACATCATTTATGTCTGAAAGCTTTCATTTTGCAAGAAATGATACTATGTAAAGACTTAGTTGTGATGTTCTCTTTCTCATCAAATGTGCCATTTGTAGAACAATATGGAGAAACCCAGTGAACTTATGAGTGCTGATTATAATTGTTATTATGAAATGTTATTATGCTAAAGTATTACCTGATTTTATAATTATTTTTATTTGTACAGTATATTTATAGATCTCTGTGTATATACATGTATAATATCTGCACACTTTTCTAGAGCTTCCATTCATTACGAATGTAAAGTGTTTCAAAAACTAAACAAGTGTGTTATGTCTGACTGGAAGATTATTTTGACATCCATCACTCCAGTAGCTTTGCAATTTTGAGTTGATTTTCAGAAATATTATATAGGTCATTTTACACACATTTTGTAAGATTTTTAATATGTTGAAGACTGATTATTGTAAATAAAGGTGCTGTACCATGATTTTAATTAATTTTTTTTTTCCAAAGTGGAATACTTGTATACAGGGAAATATTTGCCCCTGTTTTATTTTCGCCCCTTTCGCCCTACTCACAGTGGGCGAATTTAAAACAGGGCGAATTCAAAGAACACAGTATAATTTCTTACACAGAACTGTAACTGGACAAATTTAAAATTGTTTGCAAGTGTGAAAGGGCGAAAATAACATAAGTCAAAAATAACCCTGTATACAGTTTCACTTACAAAATACTTTTTCTTCAAATTTAGTATATTTGTCTAGTGACATGAACTAAATTGTTGTCTAGTGACATAGACTAAATTGTTGTCTAGTGACATAAACTTAATTGATGTCTAGTGACATAAAATAAAGAGGTATCTGAAACAGGAAGTCGAGGCCGCGATTCGAACACAAGACCTTCAGATCACGGAGCGAGCGCTCTACCGACTGGTAAAGAATAGGTAGCAAATGTTCCTTTGCCAAGCGCTCGGCACTTTGAAGTGAAAGTTGCGGGTCCTTTGGATGAGACCTTAAAAAGTCTGTGTTTTTTCCCTGTTCAAGATCTTTATCATTTACAGGATTTATGATATTGATTACGTTTTGATATATGGTATAACAATCATGGGCAAAGGTTTGTTTGGCGAGCTACGTTTCAGTGCGGAACCCTTATTAAGTTTATGTTCCAAGAATTTGGGAAGAAAACAGGTACAAGACGCAGGTCTGTAATTTTCTGGGTTGCTGTCGGTAAAGTCCTGGAGGAGGACCCTGATAGGGTTGCTATAAGATCTGATCGCTTTAGAAATGTTCATTATTTTCGGAAGCTTTTTTCTGAGATAATCAAGGATATTATATGCCACTTATTCCATTTGGCACTCTCTTTGTCGTTGATGGCTTCTCTGTGGTTATTGTTCTGGTAGACACAACGCAGAACTGTTTGAGCAGAATGTTGGCTTTTGATTTACTTTCCTCTATCTTTGAGTGGTGATACTCAAATGTTCTCCTGTTTCTACCGTTGTTCTGAGCAAGTCCTTCCTCAATGGACTTACATGTGTTTGTGAAGTCTCACTCTGTTGCAGTTCTCCCAGTTGGTTTAACGGGTTGTTGCTTTAAATTACTAAATTTCGTCAGTTGCTTTCTCGTCTAGGGTACCGAGTATCTCTGAATATTCTAGAGAGAACATATCTATCCACTAATCTGAATTTCTACTTTTCTCCTTCTTTTTATCGTTCTATACCTCTGGAGATATACACAGTTTTATGGGGAAAACTATTTAAAAATCTCAAGAACAGCAGGGTCATTTTTTTCATGTAGACTTTCCTATTTAATGTACATCAAGATGTCTTCAAATCGTAGTGCAAGGATAGCCCACAATAGAGGGCGAAAGATCTACATGAAAATATATATATAGATTAACTTTAAGAATTTCGAGGTTTTATTGGGTTGCAATGATTTGTGGCATATCGTAATTGTCTCGTCTGTCATTGTTGTCTGTCTATCATCCCAAAATTTATTTTGAAAGAAATATGTTCTGGTGCGAAAGTTATGGCCAAGATTAAAATTCTTGAAAGTCAAACTGGTTTAGGTCATGAGGTCAAAAATCATACTGCATTTCGTAAATAAATGTCATAAGTATTGCACTTATGAAAAAAATATGAAAGCCCTGTCTATTCAGGTGTAAAAGTTAAGGTTAATATTAAATTTTTGAAATGTAGCTCTAACTTGAAGGTCAAAGTAATGAGTCAAAAATCATCATATCGGGGAAGGCCTAGTCACAAGCCATGGCCATGCAAAAATATAGAAGCCATATATATATCTCTCTTCTGGTGAAAAAGTTATAGCCAAAGATGAAAAATTTTGAAAGGTAGGGCAAATTTCAAGGTCATGAGGTCAAAATGGTAGTAGTTCTTGAAAGGTGCCACAGGTAATGTACATGAATTATATTCTCTCCTTCAAAAGAATTTACCAAGAAATATCAATTTTTTTTGTAAAAAAAAGTCAAACTTCGAGGACACGGAGAAAATTATATTACATTTGGAAAGGTCAAAGGTAAAACACGTGAACTATGAAAGCCACATCTTCTGTCAAAAGTTATAACCAAGTTTAAAGTTTTTGTGACAGACGGACGGACAGACTAACAGACGGTTGAGATTTTATGTCGTGAAAGCAGGGGACAAAAATCTTTTGAAGAACAACATGGCTACAATTTAATAAAGACGTGTATCGCCATGCAAGTAATCATTGTAAAGATTGTACCGACTGAGAATCCCAGTTATCAGACCAAATATTGACTTTGAAAGCTGTGAGAATACAAGCAAATTCAAAGAATTGAGGTCCCCCGCTTTCGGTGTCTTAGTGGTTGGGATACAATTAGTTATGGCATATTATAACTGTCTTGTTTTGTGTTTTTCAAACTTGTAGATCAAGATCATTAAGTCAAAAATGATATATCTTTCTGAAAGGTGTTCTTATAGATAGTGTACATGTATTGCAAAATATGAAAGCTCTATCCTCTCTCAGTCAAAAGTTATTTCCAATGCAAACAAGATGTATTTGTGAAACACTGATGCCTCGTATCGCAGCTTATGGCAAAGGTTAAAGTTTCTCAAATACAAGTCAAAATCCAGGTCAAGAGATCAAAAAAGTTGGTACCCAAAGAAAGGTCTTGTCTCGAGGAATATACCTATGAAATTTGAAAGCCCTAGCTCCAACTGTTCAAAAGTAATGGCGAAGGTTAATTTTTAAAGTAAGTAAAATGTCAAGGTCAAGGTCAAATGGGGCTCCAAGGGAAGGTCTTGTCAAAAGTGATACACATGTTCGTGAAATGTGAAAGCCCTAGAACCAAACGTTCACGTTATGGTCAAGGTTAAAGATTTTTAAAAGTAGTTCAAACTCCAAGGTCAAGGTCAATGCCAAATTTGTTGGTATCCAAAGGAAAGTCTTGTCCCAAGGAATGCACATGTGAAGTATGAAAGCCGTAGCACCAAATGTTTAAAAGGTATGGCAAAGATTAAAGATTTTCAAAAGTAGGTCAAACTAAAAGGTCAAGGTCAAAGGATCAAAATTGTTGGTATCCAAAGGAAGGTCTTTTCATAAGAATTACATATGTGAAGTATGAAAGTCCTAGCACCGACCATTCAAAAGTTATGGCCAAGGTTAAAGTTTTTCGAAAGTAGGTCAAACTCCTAGGTCAAGGTCAAAGGGTCTAAGTGGTTGATATCCAAAGAAAGGTCTTGTCACAAGGAATAAACATCTGAATTTGAAACCTCAATCACCAACTGTTCAAAAGTAATGGCCAAGGTTAAAGTTTTTCAAAAGTAGGTCAAACTCCAAGGTCAAAGTTGTTGGTATCCAAAGGAAGGTCTTATCACAAGAAATACACATGTGAAGTTTGAAACCCCAAGCACCAACTGTTCAAAAGTTATGACCAGTGTTAAAGTCTCATAAAATTTTGCAAAAGTGGGTCAAACTCCAAGGTCAAGGTCAAATATGATGGTACCCAAAGATAGGTCTTGTCACAAGAAATACACATGTGAATTATGAAAGTCATGGCTCCAACCGATCAAAAGTTATGGGCAAGGTTAAAAGTTTTTGCGGACAAACCAGACAGACAGACGGACGGACAGGGCAAAAACTATATATCCCCGAATCTTCGATACGGGGGCATAAAAAAATTGAAAAAGACCGTGGGTTAAACTGTAAGGTCAAAGTCATGGGGTCAAATGCCAGAGTACATTCGGAAAGGTCCTGAAACAGGAAATGCTCATGTCAAATATGAAAGCCCTATCTTTTCTCATTCAAAGATTATGACCAAGGTAAAGTTTTTGTGACAGGCAGACTGAAAGACGGACAAACTGACAGATGAATAAGATTTAATGCCACCTTACTTTCGTGAAAGCGGGGGACAAAAATGACATATTGAATACTAGTATGTTTTTTTTCTCTCTTTTTTTTTTTTTATTGAAGTGTATTCTTACCAATAAAACGTTTTTTATTGCTAAACTGATACTGTAACAATTAATTCGCGAAAGCGAAGGGGCATTTAATCTCATTCGTCTGTCAGTCTGTCACAAAAACTTTAACCTTGGTCATAACTTTTGATTGAGAAAAGATAGGGCTTTCATATTTTACATGTACATTACCTGTGACACGGCCTTTCAAAATATACTATTATTTTTTAACCCGTTGACCTTGAAGTTTGACCTCCTTTAAAAAAATCATAACTTTTTCCTTGAACGTAACTTTTGATTGAGAAGAGATAAGGCTTTCATATTTTACATGTTCATTACCTGTGATATGACCTTTCAACATATACCATGATTTCTCACCCCGTGATATCGATGGATAGAGCATTCATATTTGACATATGTATTACCTGTAACAAGACGTTTCCGCTCTGTTTTTTAATCCGTGACCTTGAGGTTTGACCTAATTTTTAGAAATTTCAACATTGGTGATAACATTCGAATGACAGAAAATAGGGCATTCATATTTGACAGGTGCATTACCTGTGACAAGATGTGTAGAAACGGACTAGGGTAAAGTGCGTTAACCTAGTCCAAGATGGCGAAAGGCAAAACCGCTTTAAATTTTCTCGCACAAATATTGGTGATTTCTAGCTTAAAGTTTTACTTTATTTTGCACCAATCTGTCGGACAGCTTCAGTTTTACATGCTCGCATGGAGAATGTATTCAACTTTAGCGTAATTAAAGAGAAAATGCACATCAAAGTTTTGCTGCAGATTAGGGTAAAGTTTCTGAACTATTTATTTACGATTAGGGTAAAGTTCTTTCGAGACTAGGGTAAAGTTATTTATTTTACAACCTGATAGTGCACGATTTTGATTTTTTAACTGCTTTATACAATCAATATAGTTGGAAAAGGCTTTCTCGAACGTGTTCAAGAAATGTTGCTTCCACAAAGAAATTATACCGGTTAATATTTTTTTTTAATAACAACAATTTTCATACAAAATATTACTCTCACTATGATCGTTATATTTTCCGT